CAGAGGTCAATGTGAAATTTTACCGGGCTTTGAAAAGTTATTGTTTGTTTACAGGGGAAAATAAATTCTTTACACTGTAATGACATATAGAAAACTTCAACACAAATACCACTCATAGTTTTTAAAGAAGGGTCACGTGTGTGTGGAAAAAAACTTATTGGAAAAAGCAAATTAATTTGGAAGACCTTTTGAATTTAGAAGACCTTTTGAAGCATTTGGAAGCTTTTGAATTAGTATTTCCAAAGCACAGTGTTTATCTGTACAGAAGGTAATTTGATACTACAATGTCTGATAGTTTTGATTACTTTCTTACCCTTTCAAGTAGGATTACTAAGAGGGAGATGCAGTACTAAGATTAATTTATCTGGTAGAATTTCTGGATTTTCTTGATGCCTCATAGTTTCCTTATTAGCATGAGACTGACAGAGGTTGTTACCTAGCATATGACGAAGATAATATTTACTCACTAAATACTACTTTTAAATATACTGTATATAAAGTTGGTTGAAAAGCGGAATTGCATAGCCCCAGAGGAAAAGTAATGACATTGAAAGTTTCATAGATAATTTGGGCTTGGATTCTTTTCTTCTGCTCCATTTTGCAAGAAGTATACACATTACATTAGCATCACAAATGCAGAATATGATCATGCATGCCATTAGATACAAATCAAGTGGTTTTTATGCATGTCATAGTGTGATTTAGTGACTTGGGGTAGTGTAGTATTTGTGGTTAACTTCCTTAGCCTCAGTGAGGGTGAAATATTTTGAAGGGAGGAAGGATGGATTTGTGGTTGAAGTATAAAATTGGAAAACGGGAGATCTATTTCTGGTTTGATGACAGATTATTTGATTTGTGAGAAAATAATTTTCTGTTCCTTAATTTCTGCTTATGTAAATGGGAGAGTTACAAAAAGTATTGCCTGATTCTGCTGAATAGAGGACTTAGTGAATTCATATTTGTAATGTGTTTTAAGACAACAAGGAGGAAGTTAATATTAAAAAAAATGGACTTGAAAGAAATTATTCATTTAATGCCTCCCTCAGAAAAAAAGTTACCTGGCAGCAGATTGCCCTGAAAGCAGTATCTTTTACTGGTGTGATTATGTCCAATTCATAGCTACCAGTAACAATGAAGATAAATTTTAAAGTTGTTTCTATGTGATTTCTGCCATATTTACCATATTCTATCATTTACCAATATCTACCACCTGTATCTTTTTTTTCATCTCTTTTTTTCTTAATATTGTCTGTCCAGTCAATGCCAGGGAGCGTTCCAGAAACTGTTTTTGTTCTGTTGTTTTTTCCCCTCAGGAATGGCTATAGATACGTGGAGTGTATTAGAAGCCTGTGTTTAGCCCTGCAGCTGAAGTTTTAAACACTGAGACCACTGGGCACAGTCTACCTCAAGTGAAGTAAAAGTATTATTGTTCAAGAGGAACAGGTCCCATGCATACAAGAAAGGTTCATTTCACTAGAGAAAACTATAAGTAAGCTTAATTTCATTATAACTGGGTTTCATGTTTACATGCTTTTTTAGTTGATGTTGCTTGTATTACCAGTTACGTATATTGCTCATGACATTGGTTCTTTAATGGAGTTTAACACTGCACTGTATTGTTTTTTGGAAGAAAGTGAGTACTGTACTGAGCGGTATGTTGGACACACTCCTGCATGCTTTGTTTGACTGTGCTGTGCCAGATGTCCCCCTGCCATGCTCACCATCCCAGACTCAGCAGCTGTCCTCACCACCTTTACCCTCCCTGCAGCAGAATTAGCAAGCTCTACTCTTCAGAGCATTTCTTCACCCTCTGCCATCTTATCACCAAAATTCACTTTTGTGTGTAGTCAAATGTGCCTTTATCACTCACAGTGTAGAATACAGCAATAGAATATATATCTAGGGCTTCGTCCCCATGGAAATTAGAACCTAATGGGCTTTCTAGTGTCATAGGCAACTGCAACCATTCTAGACTCTTCCTCTGTTCTCAACACAAAGTATCTTAACAAGTTGAGGGTCTTGATTTTCATAGAAGGATCTCAAATTGACCTCAATATATCCATGAGACTGAAAGTTTGAGATGAGGATCAAGGCTTATAGCGTAGCTTCTCTGGCACAAGGGACATAAAGATCTTTATAGAGGAATGGAGAAGAGGAAAATAAGCATGGTGGGAAGGGTTACTATGCTTGCATAAAATAAACACCGTTTCAGGCAAAATTTACCTTCCTATTTGCAATTGCTGCATGCATTTTGACTTTTTCATATACAAGGGTACAGCATGGCTGTTCAGAATACTATGTCTTCCTCTGTGTTTCTGCTTCACTGTTGCTAATTTCCAGCTAAAAACCTGACTATCATGTTACATTCAAACAAGTGTCTTACCAATATCTTTGAAAAAGCTTTTTTGGACACTTGCTGGTTTACGCATGCTCCACTGTGTCCTCTGCTTGGTAGCTGGGTATGTACTAGTCATCGAGTGCTTGATGATGCACAGCTGCTGGACTTGTATTGCTAATGGCTTGCTGAACATCAGGTCAGCCCACCCTGTGGCTTCAACATTTGTCAGGCTTTCATACTGCTTCACTAAACGTAAGGCACGAAAGTGCTTCTAGTAATACTTCCACAACTTCTCCATCTCCCTCTTCTATATATTAGCCTTGGTGCATGCCCACACAGCAGTGGCATGTGGAAGATGGCTTTATACACTTTTAACTTACCAAGTGATTTGGTTCTTTGCCAGCTCACCCAGTAATCCTTCTAGGGTCCTGGATATGAGAAACTACCTCTTTAAAAAAACTCCACTGGCATTGATAAAGCATTGCCAAAATAAATGAGTTCATGAACGACTGGATGTTCAGCCCCACTGATGGGTGTGGAAGTGCAATATGTGATCTTTCAGTGGCTGTTTTTTTCAGGCTGATGTTGCAAAACAAATTGTAAAAGCAGCAGAAGTTAACCAAGAGAAGACAAACTTAATTGGAGTGGGCACCACATCTGAGCAGCACATTAGTACTAACATACAAGAGTGCCAAACAGGCTGTTGAGGAAATCTCAAATACTGGGTGCAGTCTGGAGAGATTAAATAATCTTACTATCATTTGTGAGTATACGTGCTTTAAAGGAGTAACATGTGCTTTAAAGTCACTGTATACATAACTACCACTATGCAGCATTGCATGAAAATAATTTATTTTATGACATGTCCCTTTGGACATTAGAGTGAAAGTGTCAGGTTGCCCTAGTCTGTAATTCAGAGTTAAGTTCAAATGTTGTTTTTGGCACCTGTCCTGTACTTGGCTGGGGTGTAATTTGTGGATACTTTTTTTTCTACAAGTTGGAGAGATGCAGGCAGATGCTGTTACCAAAAAGAAATCACTGTGGTTATCACAAATAGGATTTCTCCTCTTTTGCCCATAAAATCTTGACAGTGAATTAATTCTGCACAGTCTGTTATTCCACATCACACATCCAAGTGAAGAAAAAAAAAAAAAAAGTAATCAATCAGTCAAGAGCTGGAAATCAGCTCTATATTTCAGCAAGAATCTAATCTGAGCTAGATGCTCTCTCATCTTTCCCAAATGCCACTGTGGTGTTGTCTTCACTGTTTGGCAATCAACTTCTCATGTGAATTAAGGGAACCAGGTTTGGTTCTCGGTGCATTTTTTTTATATCTATCTGAGCCCTGTGAGGGGGGCTTGCTTATTATCTAAGCATAGGTAATGAGCACCTTGCAGAATCATCACCTTGTAGCTTTTACAGTTGGTTTTTCTCTGTTTCTGAAAAGTGCTGGGTTGAGGCTGTGGACAGAAAGCTTAGCATGGGGAACATATAGTCCTGAAGAGATGACAAAAAGAGGGGAAAGAGTATGGGAGGGGGGTCTCTGCTGCAAACTTGAGCAGGAAGTGGTAAAACCACTCTGGGCAAGGCTGTAATTTTCCAAAGCTCACTGGCACAATTTGTATCTTGTGCAAAAAGTAGTTACCTTTGTGTGGTATTGCTTGAATTATCTGTGAAGTGTTCTGAAGCTGGAAAATGCTCTGTACAGAACTACCAGCTCAATTCTAAAGCCTGAAATCATATTTGGCATCCGAATGATCCCTAAAGGCTTTGGCTTTGTGTTACCGCACAACCCAGAAGATCTTTGTTTTCTGCTTCTAAGCTGCAGCCAGACCCATGTAAGAACAGCTGATGGGCTTTAGCCTTGATTTAGGCACAAATCAAAACCAATGCTGCAGCCTTGTCCAAGTTGTTGGCCCCATCTGTCTGTAATTGGAGGGATGTCAGAGCAGCTTTGACCTGGAATTGGTGACAGGCTGTTTTTAGAAGTGTCTCTCTGTAAGTCCCTAGAGCTGTAGTTCATAGGAGCAAACCAAAAATAACTGCTGTATTTTAGCATGTTAATGTAGAGTCCCAATGCAGTAGTCTTTGTTGGTAGTGGTGTAAGGATGTTTTACATGCTGTGTGGGTAATGTTTAAACTTGTCACTTTTTTGTTCTGGACAAAGGCTGGGACACCTTATGTCACACATGCCAACAGCTGAGAGCTATTAATAGGAGTATTTGAGCCAAAAAAACCCCACATGCACCTTGTAATTCTTTTGAAAAGCTTTATTCTGGGGGAAGTTTGGTTGGCAAAAGAAGGCCAAATCTTAATGCTCTTGGCTCTAGAGGTCGACTCTGCTCACAGCGAGGAGTGGGTGGCCGCCCTACTTCGTAAGGTTCGGGCTAGAACAGCTTATAAAAACAAAGCCCACCCTTCGTGGCTTCAGACGGCGGGTTTTGCCTCGCTCGGCCCCTGTCAGCAGGGGTTGGGCCCGGGTGCCCTCAGCGGGGAGGCGGCCCCGGTGCCCTCAGCGGGGAGGCGGCCCCGGTGCCCTCAGCGGGGAGGCGGGCGGGCGGGCGGGCGGCCCCGGTGCCCTCAGCGGGGAGGCGGGCGGGCGGGCGGGCGGCCCCGGTGCCCTCAGCGGGGAGGCGGGCGTCCTGGCCCGGCCGCGGGCGCCTCTGCCGGGGGCGGGCGGCGGTGCCGCTCCCCGCGCAGCGCCTCCTCCGCCCGGCAGCGAGGCGGGCGGGCAGAGAGCGAGGGGCTCGCCGCCGCCGCTTCGGAGCTGTGGCAGCGCAGTCGGCGTCGGCGGCAGCCGGACCTCCCGCCCCGCAGTCCGCCTTCCAGCGCGGCGGTGGGGGAGCACCTCCGCCACCGCTGCCCGCCTCGGGGCCCCGCTGGCCATGGAGCTCTCCCTCAGGCTGCTCCTGGCGTCCTGCCTCTCCCTGGGGGCTGCTGGGGAGTTTGACAGAAGGTACGCGCCGGCTTCCGCGGGGTGAGCGGAGGTGGTCGGGGGCCGGCCGGGCGGGGAAGTTGGCGTTTCCTCAGGCGGGTCGGAGCCCCCGCGGGCAGAGCGGAGGGAGCCGGGGCTCTCCCCTTCGCGGGCGGTGGGGTGGGGACTTCGGCGGCGGCTGCTGTAACAGCCCGCGGGCTCCTGACTGCCACCAGTCCGCTGGGGCGCGAAATGGCGGCGGGGGGGTGGGCTCGTTACCGGCCCCCGGGGCTGCCTCCCGGTGAGGCGAGGGTAGCTGGAGCCCTCGCCCTCGGCGGGACTTGTCTCGGCGCTCCCGCCCCCCGAGCCGAGCGGAGGGGCCCGGGCGGGCGGCTGAGGGGCGCGGCGGGCCGAGCGCCCCGGCCCCCGCGGCCGCAGGTGGAGGCGCGGGGCCCGGTGCCACCCGGTGCCGCTGCCGGGGCTCCCCGGGACGGACCCACCCTTGACCCGCGGGGAGCCAGTGCCGGGCAGCGCTCGGCGTCCTGAGCACGGGGTTCGGGATACGGAGTTTGTTGCTCTGGCAGGGTTGCGTCCTGCGAGAATTAAAAACAAAGCACTTTGCGTGCTGTAAAAGTAAAATTAGTTTATTGACGCCTCGAGGCACTTGAAACAGAGTACGGTGAGGATTGCGACTCAAGTTTTAACATGAAGCGAGGTGAAAATGGATGTTTGGAGAGCGTGTGCCCCGTGGGCTGTGCTGAGCCGCGTCAGGTGTAGTGAGCGGCTGCATGGCAAGTCGGGGAAGGCTTCATGGGTGCTTCGAGGAGCGGGCTGCCCCGCGCAACGGTTCTGTCAGCGGGCACATAGATCGGCCAGCATCATCCCCTCTCCAAGGATTTCTTTTTAGGATTTGTTCAACTGCAACGTTCATGTGATTCCAGCTTGTCGTTAAAAAACATTAACCATTTATGTCAATACTTTGTAATTGTTTGAGACTGCAGTATCTTTTCCTTGGAACAAGGGAAGACTACAGATCTCCTTTTGTATTTACTTTCTGTTTAACAGTTCAGGAAGCTTTTGCTTTGATTTTTTTTTTTTTCTCTTTCATGTTTCAGTGAGAAAATTTGGCCATGTATTGTGAAATAAACCAATGCTGAAACTTTATGATGCTGGTTTATTCTACGTTATGAATTCTGTGTTTCAGACTTTTGAAATTATTCAATACCAGCCTGGGAGTGGAAGCAGTGAGCATATTGCAAAGCATGTCAGTTTTTTCAGGCTTTACAAAGTTATGCTAGTTATCTTTTCCCTTCTTTGCTTGTAGTCATTTGCATTTTCTGAACTAAACAAAGTGTTAATGATAGAATTATTACAGACTCAGAGCAATTGCTGTTTTTTAAAAAATATATATCTTCATGCAGGAGAGGTTTTTGCTGGTCTTTGTCTTTTGTTTTTCTTAATCTAGAATCATTTTAGTTCCTTTCAAAATGTTTCACCAGACTTTTTTGAACTGTCTTGTTCAGGTGGCCCAGACAAATAGTCTCCTCCACAGGACTGTGTCGGTTTGGAAGTAGAATTGACTGCTGCTGGGGCTGGGCCCGGTTGTCCTGGGGACAATGCCAACGTGAGTATCACTGCTGCTGGGGCTTCTAGTCACTTGTAGAAAAGGCTTGTACACACCTAGTCATGTCTTTCACATGTTCACACACATTCTTACAACGCAGGGCTTAGGCTTTTGCACGTGTGAGTCTGAATTAGAAGGATGTTGTCATTTTACAATTCTGTCTATTATTAACAGTACTAAAAATGATTGCAATCAAGTAAGGTAAACTTTAGTTAGGGCAGTGAGAATTTGGGAATTTCTGTTTGGTTTCCACTTCGTTTCATGCTCTGGTTTAATAGCCTGACGTAACACTGCACTGTGTCACGTTACAAGCACTGTAGGGCAAGAATATTTGCATCCAAGAAGGAAACCCAAATTATTGATATTTCACTTAGAAAGTTGGTGGAAATGTTCCAGTTAGTATTAAGTTCAAACATTCTTTCAGTAACCCCTAACTAAGGGAATAAATCTGCCTGACAGCATCCTTTTAGTGGGTCACACGTGAAGAGAAGCATCTCTGAGATTCTCACATCTATCTAGAATCTTTGATATAGTTGCAGGATTACCAAGTAGATAAGTCTTCATCATTAACTACATCTTCAAAAGGTATTCTGTGGTGGCAGCTTAGCACTGTGTAGAAGTTAAAATTGTTAGGAGTATTGTAGAGATATCAGCTTGTTAAAATTACAGCCTTTGATACCGGGAACGCTTGCTCGTGTGTTTAACAGTGCATACGTGAGTGATATCCCCTAAGTTTTTGCAGGAGGCAACCTATAAATGCAAGTATTTTTTTTTTTTTTTTTTATTTAGAGGCAAGTGTCTGCAAACTAGATCATTTTCTGCCAAGCCATTTTTAAATTAAGACAGGTATTAAATACTGTAAGTTGCTTAGTCTGCAGGGCAGTGACTGAGGTGGCAAATATTAGGCAAAAAATAAAAATAGCATTGGCAGTGCAACTGTAGACTCTCAGCAAAGGTTTTGTTCAAATCTGTAATCAACAAGACTGGCTTCTTCCTTCCCAAGTGTGTTAAAAGCCCTCAATGTTTAATAGCGTATAAGATGATTGGTAAAAAAAGCTATGTAAAGTACTTCTGGAACATAATATAATGTTTCTGATACTGTTTTTAAATACAAAGTTCTCAGGTTGATATCTCTTAGGCCATACAGTGAATCATTTCGTAACAAGTAGTCTTTTCCTTGGGATGAATGCTTACAGAGAAGGAAGGAGGATGTGAAGTAGGTTGATTGAGGCTACTCCAGAGATGATAGAATCTTTGTCCATCTTTCATAATACAGTTTAATTTGGAAATTGTTGAACATTTAAATGTTTGAGGCTACGAAGGCTTAACTGGCAAGTAGCAATTCACATCAATTTTGTTGTTGCTTGTCTTTTTTAAAACAAAAAAACCCAAAACCCTAAAAGGGTCTCACCATGGCCCTTTTCTTAGACAAATTGCCACCTGTGTTGTGACCGCAAACTGCAGCTCATATTTAGGTAGATGTAAGTTTCTCGCTATTACCAAGTCTGTTTTGGGGTTGTATTTTTATGATCTTGGGAGACAGGAATAGCATAAAGTGATACTATCAAAAGATTCATAACTAAAAGTTGAAAATGAGACAAAAGTAATAATACACAGAAAGTATTTTTTATTTTTACTCTGAATTTTGTCAGTAAGATCATTTGTGGTGCCAACTTTTTCAGATACCATAAATGCTCTTTTTTTAAGGCTAAAGCTAGGTTCATTCTCACCTCCTTCCACTGCATTTTAGTCCATTAGTCACACTTTTGTTCTCCATGTACATTTCCAAGAAGTGCAGAGATGGATTTTATGTGGTCATCTCCAGTAGTTGTGACCAGACTTTCAAAAGAATACAATTATCACTTAGGTGTCTAAATGCATTTTTTCCCCATTTTTTATTTCACACACTGGGTGCTAATAATTTCTGAATCACTGATTCAGAAGAGTCTCAGATATGTGGGTGATGACCTTATTAAAAACTTAGCAACTCCTTCTAGTTTTTAAATGGGATCCAAACTCTTTGCAGAATAAAGCAAGAAAATCTGCCCCAGTTGTGGGTGGTGAAAATTCCAGTCATATCAGAGTGGGAGATTGCATTAAATGAAAGTGAATCTTTCTAGTGCTTGCAGCCAAACAGAAAAACTGTAGTCAACTCTCCACCTTGGGAATGTGGCATTCAGTATGAAGGATTAGCCTGGCACAGAAGGCAGCATTCCTGGCCTCAAAGGAAAACTTGAATGTTTTACTGTACAAAGGGGTATCATTGAAAAATTTCCAAAAAGTCAAATACACAATTATTTCTCCTGCTTTCTCTGTGGAGAAAGGCAAACCTCTTAGTCCTGTCCCCAAAATGAGTGGCATAAATACATGTCAGACTACTAGATGTACATTTTCTTTGCCGTTTCCAGAATAAATTTTATTTGCACAACAAAAACAAGTATAGAGGCAGGTTTAAAAGTTAGTAGTGAGACTCAACTTATAAATGAGTCCAGAAATGAAGCTGTAAATATTCAGGCAATAACGCTGAGCTCTTTATTAGAGAGCTTGAACTGCTTTTCTCAAACTAGTTTGAGCCATTCTTGGTACACCTGCAAGTGCTACAGTACCTTTGGACTCTCACCTGCTTACTTGTGCATAATTTACTATGTAGGCACAAATTACCTCTGAATTTATCTTTCTGACAACAAACGTAAAGCGAGAGCCATGCTGGAGCCAGATTTTAGCAAGAATATAGGCTCTGATACGTGACAGGGTTGTCCCAGTTTACAGAGACCTCTGAACCGTGATGAGCCACGGACAAGTGATCGCGAATGTACCTGGATCCATTTTCTGCTGTCCAGCTGAGCCACTCCACTTAACGTGTATGGGCGTGCCTTTTGCCCATGACTTTTGAGAAAAACATGTGCTCGTTTAAACCAACAGTGTGATTTAAGGTAATTGTTTAATTGTGATCAGAAGTTTAAGCCTGTATATGTCAGCTTTAACAAGGTAGGAGTGCGGCACAGCTGACAAGTGGTAACTCATTAAGCCTTGGTAACTCAGTGCTCCTGATCTTCCATTCACAATCCACCCATACAGTTGCAAATGGAAACTGAACTGTTAGCTAAACTTGCTTTTGTGAAATGTGGAGTTATTCCTTTTATGTCCCTTTGACTGACAAAGGAGTGCACATAGAGCATAACTGTGTTTACTGCTGCTTAGTAACGCAAGTCAGCATAACTCAGCTGTCTTTTTCATTCTTATAAACATGTAGGAAGAAATTGAAACCAGGCCCTGCTTTTAATTTATACTCCTCCTTTAAAATATCCTCTGACTCCTGTTAATAAATTACACCAATCAAAACTTGTGCATGTAGGGCTGATCTGTCTGTAAACTTGCTTTCAAAGCCTGTCAGTGGTCCGCTGTAATTTCTCAGCTAGTAGAAATATTCTCTCTTCAGTGACATGAAATTGTCTTCCCAAATGCCCTTTCCAATTCCAGCAGATGCACTTAGAAGGTGTCCCTCCAACTGAAATAATCAAGAACTTTGAAACAGGTTGGACTTTTTTGTTTCTTTCTTGCAGTTAGTGAAAACCCAGGTGAGATCCATCTTCAGGCAACTAGATCCATTTTGAAACTGATACAAATGTAGCCACATTTTTAAAGGTGCTGAACATACTTAACAAATTCATTGGCATTTCTTAGTCCTTGTAAATTGAACTTTGTAAATCTACACTTATTTAGTAGCCTGATCTAGATTTAGAACTGTGGATATATTCCATCACTAGCATAATTAAGTAGCTCTTTTGAGGTTTTGATTTGGTATACAAACCAGATTTATTGGTTAAACCTAGTATGTAGAAAGGCTGATTTGTACACAGCAGGAATGTTGTTTAAGCAACAGCTCTTAGTTCATGTGAAGCAACCTCATCATTGGTACAGCTGGTCCTTTACACTTACGGATCCACAGCACCAGTACTTTAAAGTTAAATATCCCTATTGAAATTAGTCAAAAAACTGCATTTGTTGCCCAGCCTGAGGGATATACTTGTTCCTTAATAAGTAGTAGTGGGAGTAATATCTCTAAGTGGGAGTAATCACACAAAAGCCTACTTCTGAGAAAAAAGAATAAATGTATGATATGTTGATGAAGTACCTGATGAGATGTGTGTAAAAATAGGGCTGTTGTTTTGCATTTTTATGTGTTATTGTGCACACAACAAAACTATAACTCAGAGCAAAAGTGAGGGTAGAAAGAGTTTCTTCTGGATTTCTTAGAGTAGGGGGTTTTGACTTCTTGCGACAGTGTTTTTGGTGAGAGCAGATATCAACAGTAGATTTTTAATTCATAACTCCTTTTGCATTGTAAGCCACACTTAGCATCTGTGGTACCAAGTGTGTTGTCCTAACCCAGAACCCATTCAACGGGTTTTAAAGCATACAGGGAAAACCAAGTTGGGGCATGCATCATTGCACACATCTTGCACACACTCACTTTTCTGTGTGCCAGCAGAAAAAAATTGCCTTAGGAAGTTGATTAAACTTTTTTTTTAATGTGTTGTTCAGCAATAATTTTCATGGTTTGAAATATGTGGGGGAAGAGAATTTCCAGCAGTGGTGGGGCTGGAGCCCAGTTCTTTGAGCTGGATGAAAAACATCAACTACAGAATAGAAAATAGTTGTGTCCATTCCTGTGTTTTAGCTACTGTAGTCTAGGAGACCTGCTGAAGCCTGTCATCTCATCCCCCTAACATGATGTTTGTGACAGCATCCTGCAGGGATAGCTGTGTTTCTCAAGGAAAGAATAATCTGGGCCTTGTTGTCCAAGTGTCTCTGCTAGGTCAGAGCTAGGCCAAGCAGCAGAAAGGTCCTTGGAACTGCTGCTGACAGACCCTCGCTGATAATCTGGTGTACAGAAATCAACTGAGAATATACTCACATACGGAACTCTGGAACCTGGTTAGCCTATCAGAAAACTAAAATATGGGATAAGAGATGCACTTGTTTCATGCAGAGACTTATGTGAGAAGTAGTGTGATGCTTTTTATTCTTCAGTGTGAAAATGGAAGTTCTTCCCTTCAGTTTCCAACAGGCCATGCTAAGGACTCTCTGAAAATAGTTCTTTGTGAACATTTTTGCCACTAATCCACCTTGGTTCCCTGAAAGTTATTATTAGAACTAATGGTCTACCTGCCTTGCTTTTAGCTGGCTTACAAATATCTCTGTAGTTCTTTCAAAAGCTATAAAAATAGTTTCCGCATGCGTGTGTCCTTCATGAACAAAACACACCTGCTTTGTACTTGGCTGTGTGTCTGTTTGAAATTGATTTGTATGCTAGTTATATGTAGTCAAGGTACACTAAAGGTGTGGGTTGCCTTTTGCTTCAAAATTTCAGCTGCAGTTTAACAGCCAAGAACTGTAGAAAAAGATACTGCTTTAACATAAATTTTAAAGGTTAAACAAGATTTTTTTTTTTTTTTAAAGAAAAGCAATATAAACTAGTTTGAATTCTCGTTCTGGATTACAATTTGGACAACTCCTTTGCTAGAGGTGATGGTAAAAGTTACTCTTTTTGCTGTGTTCACATATGTACAAAATGGAAGGTTGGATCTGCAGCTTCTATAAACAGATGTAGATCTACTGTCAGATCCTCTGATGGCAGGAATCTGCATGACTGTTGGAGTCAGGAGAGGGTACTCTGAGATTTTTGTCTAGTGGACAGAAAATTTGACCAACGGAAGATGCTTAACAGGAATGAAATTTTACTGAACATGGATTTTACAAGTAGTGATGTTATTTTGTTACTTCGCTCATTTCAGTGTTGAATTCTCCTTAAATGATAACAAAGTCTATAAAGTCTGTCTTGAGATGGGGTTGTGAAGATGAGTGTGCTCTTTCAGAGCATCCATCTGTTCTAACTCCATCTGGTTATCTCCCTGTGCCGAAGTTTGAGTCTTCTACCTAGAGAGCAAAACCGAAATCAGTCAGCAAAGTAGTTTCCTGCCACCTTACATTAAAACCATGACAACTGGCTTAAAAGCCTAGGGACAGAGCAGACAAGAAGGTGTACAGTAAAATAGCCTATTAGTAAAAGTGTAAGTCAAGCCATCAGTTTAGACCTCCCCTTAGCATTGCATCATTAAAAAATGTTCATTGAAGGATGTCAGGTTAGCATTTAGATTTAGTCAAACCTAGTAGAAAGCATACTATTTCTGGAGGTTCTTAAGAGGACCTGCAAGAGAGAGAGAGGAGCTTTTACAAGCTGATAGAGCAGATGCAGGCATAACCAAATGCTTTGCCAAGAACTGTGCATGCTGCTGCATTCTTCCTACAGTTGCGAGGAAACTTACAGTGTCTGTGCTGCTGCTCCTGCCCTAATGAGCTTAAAGACTGTGTATCTGTACTGTGCAATCTATTTACAGAGCTGCAAGGTGGTGGGAGTGGTGGGGAAGGGGGTGGCTGTGCTCTCATTGATGCCTTAAAGGAGATGTTGTATAACCAATGATAATGTTGATGGGAGTTTACCCATATAAATCATCTCATACATCAATGGGAGGAGAGGCCATAGCTACTTAGGACTTCCATTTCTTGCACATAACAATGCTTCCAGTGGAAATGGCAATTCTGTATAGTCCAAAATGCACAAAAATAAACCCATGATTTTGTCACTATTGAACCATGAAAATACTGTCTTCCAGGAGGCTGACCCACTAGCAGAAACCTCCTTCAAGTCAATAAAAGCTTTGTTACTGAATTTGTGGTTGCAAGAATACAGTCTGGATTGATGCATTGTGTTGACAATGTTTAATTAATATCGATATGCAGGATGTCTGCTGCTTACAAAATGGCTAATATTTTTGTGCATCCCGGGTACTTTTCAAAGAAAAGACGTTTTATACAGAATTGCAATGCCGCTTTAATACTGCTATGCAAGAAAAAATGAGGTTTTGCTATTTTTATTCAGCTGTTCTTTTTTTTTTAGTTTTCAGTTTAGAAGCTGTATGCTTTTAAAGCAGTTATGACTTTACTATGTTAAAGATACAGTATCCTTTTCCACTTGCCCGCTGCATCCCTCCAGCAATTCATACATAGAGTAATAGTTTTGCCGTCTAGTTTTTCCTAAGGAAATCTCAACAGGAACATGATCTGACCGTTTACAACTGTAGTATATTCGTATTTGGAGCTTCTCTCAAAACCCAGCAACAACTTGAGGAGCCTCCTTCCACTGTAACAAACACTAAGGGACTTTCTGGTTAAAACTAATTTAAACCAATGTAAGTTGCAGTCATAGCAAACCATTAAGCATTGGTCACTTAAAATACAAAGAGCTGCTGTTGCTTAAGTCCCAGTCTTTTATAATAAGGTTAAGTAGCCTAACAAGCTATGCTGCTAACATTAAGTTTATTGTCAAATAAATTGATTTAAAATAAGCCCAAAACATAAATCTGTGTTTCCATCTTAACTTTTCTGGCATATCAAATTTCATATGGTAGTAAAAGCTGAAAAGGTCTCTAAGCATTAGTTTTAATTTAGATGACATTCAAAATTTAAACATTATAAAAATGACCAATAAATTTATCTGCCAGCATGTTCATTGATTACAGATGTTCAGGTACTTAGAAATTAGTGTAATTTTAATTACTGTCAAATTAGCATCCAGATGCTAACCCTTTATGTTTGCTATGTGGAGATGCAGCATTAAAAACAGATACCTATATTTAAATGAAGGGATACTGTCTCTTTAAGAAAAGCATTTATGTTCTCTTGATGGAAACATTGAACCTAAACCTTGAAACATGAGAATTTTTGCAACTGTGTGCCATATGAAACATGACAAGTGTCGCTCCTTATTTGATTGAATAAGAATAGCATCACGTCATTATATTTAATTACTCTTATGTATCAGAATGTGTTTGTTAAATCTCATAATGAAATACTGATGTAAGGTATTTCCATTTTTAAATGTGTACCAGAATTTTTTTTATTTCAGAAAAGCTCTGAGTGTTGAATGTGTGTAAGTCTCCAGGAATGTAACAAGTTGATAAAAACCCCAGCCAAGCCCATCCTCCTTACAGGAAAGAAAAAAAAAAAAAAAAAAAAAAAAAAGCTGGAATTTCTTTTTTTGGATATTTGTTTTGCAGCTTTCTACGTCTTAAGGCAGAGAATAGCCAGCCTAAGGTGCCAGCCCAAAGGTTAGCTGAACATATTTCTTGAAATAATTTTGGCAAGGTTATGACTTGGAGTTATGGCCTCCAAGTTGTAAGTTTACATGAATCCTATAATACGTGACAAGAAGATGTAAATGTTCTTTTTTTTTTTTCCTTTTTTTAAACATTTGGTCTGGGGAAGATGAGGGGGGGAAGGATATTGGGCAGTTTTATCCCAGTCACTTATCCAATGAGATACATATTTTCTAAACTATTGCACTTTTCCCTTTTCACTCTTTTCCTTTTTCTTTATTTTGCCCTCAAGCCCCAGGCAATATTTTTTTCCTTCTTGCAAATTGTTTGTACTCCCAGCATCATGTTTACAAGCTGTCAGACCTAGGAGGCCTAATTTGCTTTCACAGTATTGAATCATGTCCAGTGGGAGGTTTGGGGGGGCTGAAGCGCTTATTGCCTCCTGTTGCCTGCTTTGCACCTCCACTACAGGCTGTTGTTCCCACAACAGGGAGACTTTACAGTCCTTGCTCTGCAGCAGTGTGCAACCTGGCGTGTTAGAACAAAATGAAATCAACACTGCTTTACACTGGTACCCAGGGCTGCAGCCTGCTGCTGCTTAGGAGTCAATATGTCTTGTTTGCTTGTCCCTACGGCGGAAGTACCAGCCCTTAGAAAGGGGTGCAAAGCAATCAGCTGTCTGTCTGCCCCTTAACTTCAGCTTTGTTACTGTGGTACAGAAGTTACTCCACTGAAGCCAGTGGGTGTTATATTCTGATAAACAGAATAGCAATAGGGTCCAGTTTGTTTTCTGCCACCACACAGGGAGACACTTGCCCTAGCCTGCTTCTACTTGCTGGAATTCAGTAGACACAGATTCAGGTAACAACAGGCATTTGAGATGATAGAGCACCATTCTTTAATCAATTATCATGAGCCATTTGAAATGCAAACATGGAAAGATTGACAAAGAATGAAATATTTCTTGCTTTTCTAATTTTGCATTGTGTCAGGTCAAATTTTCACTGATTTTTAAAAAGAGTATTTAAGTGCATAAGCATTAGATTAACTGTCACTGACTTCATTAAGTCCTGGTGATTTCAGTGCTACCCATGCTTAAGTTACGCATGCTTTTAAGTGCTGTTGTGAATAGCAAGACGTTCATGAACCAGGGTCTGGATATGTCTATGCAGTTTAGAAACGCATTTGGCAGCAGTCATAGCCCAGCAAAGAATTCACTGCAATCAGCAGCCCACACTGGTTGCAGTTCGTCATTTTAATGTGCTGTTACCAGAATCATGTGTGCAAACTGAGTAACTGATTTACCCAGGCAAATGTAATAGTTGTGCATGAAAAATTAGGAGCCGCTCACTTAATGGAACTGTATGTTTTAGATAGAAGCTGAAGCATGCATTTTGACATTTGTTATCGTGAACGTTACAAATAAGCACAAGTAATTTGTGAAAAAATAAGCATTAGATACTACCATTTTATCTGATATTATCAATCTCTAGTTACAGATGTTGGTCAAGGACCTTTACTATCTTTCAAAAAACAGAGTAAGGAATGTTTTGCATATGAAATTATCTGAAAATTAATACCCAGTTGCCCTAGTCAGGCATATTAATCTCTGCAGAGATATATGTTGTGACTGCTAGTATACTTATTTGAGAAGCAAAGTTAATTTTTCAGAAGTAATTCTGTAATGTGAGTTACCGGTATGACATGTTTTTACCACCTACTGGTAACTTTGTGGCAGATTAAGCTTTATGTGTTCTCTGACATTTCTATGTAGTTGAACAAAAAAGCAGTATGTAACTCTGAAAGAGCTGCAGTGATTTATTTTACAATTTATTTCATACTTTTGGGATCCTAGATCAAAATTACTGTGAATAAGGCAGATTCTGAGCGTGTGTTTATACAATTGCATGATTTGCAAAGAATTGCAAAAAGTAAATAGAGACAGACATGAGCTGAAGCTGGTTCTGAGGAAGAGAAGTATAGAATTTGAGGCTGTAATCTGTTAGCACCAGAGGAAAAAGGCAGCCAGTTTCAGGTGAAGGAGGAAGCATGGAGGAAAGCTTGTTTCACCAACATGCAAGTCCTGTGATAGAGTTGGCACTGGGGGAACATGAGTAGCGATTTTAAGATTGGAAGTCTGTTCTCCATTCAGCAGGGTAAGAGGATCCAATAAAGGTTTGTGAAGCTGAATAGTATGTAATCATCTCTGGGCTGATGCACAAATTACTACGTGTTTGTGCAAATTGATTTTTGAGGAGTTGGGATTTAGAGTCAGAATAAATTAGGGGCTATGTGTTACTTGGAAAGAGAGGACAGAAGCAGGGCCGTTTTGGCAGATGGTTAGCATACATTGTTTCAGATGCAGGTATTCTTATGCATATTTTTAGACTTCAGAGAGGTGAAAGAATAAGTTCAAGGACAGGTTGGACATCTGCAGTCTGGCATTTTGAGGCAGATTTGGGTGAAGGGATGTAGAAAGAGCAGTTAAAGACTTTGAGGACAGTGAAGCCCTCTTGTGGGCATCATGCAAGAAAGAAAATGCAAGGAATAACTATTAAGGAACAGAAATCAAGAGGCAAAGCAGAGAAGAAGAGTGTAAGAATTGTACACAGAATTCTACTCAAAGCTGTTTTGATGAAAGACATAGCTAGGAGTGTTGAAAAACCAAAGAAGAATTAAACTGGTAGAGATACTCACTAAGAAAGTTTAGGGATTTCCATTGTTGGCCACAAACAAAGAGGAATTAGACAGGTAGGAACCAGACAGTGCAACCATCTGGTTAGGGCTCCACTGAACACTGTTTGATAATCAAGAAATAAACAGTTAATGTTAAAATTTTAGATGAGAAGGAATAGAGGGGACAGCATGTGGTAGTCATCCATGCCCTCAAAAGGTGGGCAGCGCAGTGTGGAGGAACTGACAAAACCTGGGTGGACTTCCAAAGCAGTTCCAAGAACTGTGTGCAGGGAGAAAATACAGGTGAGATTTTTAAAATGCAGCATTATAGACCCATAATTAATTGATTGAATGTACTTTTCATTTATTGTATTTATGCAACAATTAAAAAACAGTCCTTCAGAATGATTGAGTCATGCTCAGACACCACCAGCAGCTAGTAGTGGCTGGGAAGATTGGTGGCTTCTGGCTTTTATGCAAGCATAGCATGTGCATTTCACCAGAAATTCTTTCTCCCTCTCTCCCACACTGGAAGAAAATTCCCAATCCTCAACCCAAACCACTCATTCATGTTTCAATTCCTTGTGTTATTTTTACAGGAAGTTTAATTTGTCCTGAAGTTTAAATGAGACTTAAAATGTGGTATTTATCACCTTATTTTGGAGGAAAATGTAGGTCTTGCCAACCTTTAAAATAGGTACTCTGTTAGATTTATGGCCAAATAAAAGGCTTTAAGATACCTCCTTGACTCTACTGAAGTCGGCGGGAACTGAGACAGAGTAAGTCTTCATATCTGGACCAAAAAAAAATAGAATTAAAAATGATCAAACTGCAATGAATAATCATGAGACCAGCATGTATTTGCTGATATCTCTGATGTATTGGACAACAAAATGAAAAGTAAGGTTTAGTTGTAGTTCATTCTATGGCCTAGAAAAATGAGCAGCAGTGGACTAAAGACGAAAATAGCTGTGCTTAGGAGATTTCTTTCTATCTGAGTCCCCATTACTACCCAATGGCAGTGCCACTTTAATGCTTTCAGAGAGGAATCTTTAGAGAAATGGTAGGTCTTTGATGGTACTGATTCAACAATGAATATGCAATCTTGTTTTAGTGGCACTTGTCTATACAAGCGTACTGTTAACTTTTTTTTAAAGCAATTACTATTATAAAGAGTAGAAAATTTTTGTTTCTCTTTGGCAACCTGTTCAGATGCTTATCTTCTGGATGTCATTGCCCTAAGTGTGTAAGGGAGAGACTTTCTCACTCTGGTGGAACTCTCCACTGTCTATGTTTCTTTCTCACCTAGTAGGAAAGTGAGTGTTATGTAGCACACTGAAGTCCATGGACATGGCTTATTTCCATCACTGTAAATGTGAGTTGATCAGATGGAAATGGTGTTGTGTTGGGTGGTTTGTGGTTGGTCATGGGGGGAATTCTTTAATTGTCAGGATGCAGAGAATATTAGTTGGGAGGCTTTTTTCTGTACTACATATAAGTCTGTGTTAAAAAAAATAGATAAAGTCCATGTGTTTGTGTGCAAGCAGAGCAACTGAAATATTCTATTCTATTCTATTCTATTCTATTCTATTCTATTCTATTCTATTCTATTCTATTCTATTCTATTCTATTCTATTCTATTCTATTCTATTCTATTCTATTCTATTCCATTCCATTCCATTCCATTCCATTCCATTCCATTCCATTCCATTCCATTCCATTCCATTCCATTCCATTCCATTCCATTCCATTCCATTCCATTCCATTCCATTCCATTCCATTCGGAATTTTTCAAGAAATTAAGTAGAGTGAAAAATTCAAAGAAAAAGCCCAGTTGCGTCAGCACACATGGAGTATGCCTGGACTCATACCAAACAGTTGAAATAATTGCCTGTTATTAAAAGAAATGCTGAAAGTCAGGCTCAAGCTTATTTTCATACCTGGATCTCATTGTTGACCACCTTCCAGCGGCACCCTCGGGGACTCGGGGAGTGTGTGTGTGCTGCCGGGCAGGGGCAGCTCCTCCCTCGGAGGAGGGGGAGTTTGTAGGCTGCAGAGCCTGGGCCAGGACACCCCTCCGGGCCTGGTGACACGGGTGGGGGTCAGTGGGAAGGGTGCAGAGATGTCACGCGTGGGACCCCAGCCAGGTGTGCAGACTTGGCTGAATGCCGCCTGCTTCTTAGGCCCTGAGCGCTGTGCGGGGCCCCGCTCACGTGAATGGGAGGACGTACAGATCACTTGGTGAGGGTGGCTCGATTGCTGGTAGGAAATGCTGTGGGATGTGTCTGTGGTGCTGGCTGAGCTGCAGATGTTTGCTAAGCTTACTGCAAAGCGCTTTTCTCTTGTGCGTAGGAATTCTTCAGTTGTAACATTGTATTGAATTTCAGCTGCTGTGTATAAATAAGATGCATAATACTTAAGTAGCCAAAGTGCACAGAATATACTCTAATAAACAGGATTTATTCAAGTACAGTGTTTGGCAGCAAACATGGGTTTCCAAATACCTGTTTAATGTGCAAAAGCCCCCATTTTATGATGACTTTGACTTTATGGATAGTGGTTTGCTAATCATTAGGAAACTGCCTTTGTGGCAGTAGAAATTCTTGAGCTGTAGAATGCTGAGGGGCTGAGATTTCTCTTAACTGAGTCTTTTAAAACAGAAGAGAGATATCTGTCATGTGACTTCCATTTCTTAATTAAATCTTGAGATTAGGAGGTAGACGAGATCAGGAGTTACCCACCTGTATGTCACAGGACATTAAACATTGCATAGTATGGTGCTAAGTTTGTTGAGATGTGCTGGACTAGATGATCTCTTGAAGATCCCAAAGATCCAGTTGCCAGATTTAATAATATGGCCTATCTTACATGTTGCATATCTGTAGACAGTTGTATATTATTTGCTTTAAACAAATGCTAATGCGTAATTTTTGTTCTAGTATAATATCTGACCTACTTGATTAACAGAGAATTAAGCAAAACAACTAATTCCTAATATAAACATATTTGACCTTCCGAATTAGAGGAACATTTTAATTTCTAAATTAAATGTAAATCTCATTTATTTCATCACTGAATTTTAGAAAGCTTTTCATCTTCAAGTGCGAGTGATTTTTTCCCCTCTATCTGAGATGCTGCTAATTTATAATCTGTGCAACTGAGGGAGGGACCAGGACTATTTAAAAGTCAGCTAAACTGAAGTTGCCACAGGTTCAGCTCCTGAAATGTAACACTTCACACCAAGCTGATCCCATTATTATCTAGCTGTATCCCACTCCACAATATGGATTTTCTTTAAAGTGCAGTTGAAATTTCACGGAAGCTTTCAAAAACATATTTATAGTAATTTCTGTTTTTCTGATGTAGTTTAGATCACATCTTTTTCTTTTTCCCCAGTGACTTCAAAGTCATGAAGGTGGTCTTTATAGTCTGTTTTGCCACCGTCACCTCTAATTAGACTTGGGTTTATGTCAGGAAGATAAGAGTCTTAGTGTCTAAATGAGCTCTTATACAATGAAGATCTTTTTTTTTCTGTTTATGACCATAGTGATTAGAAAAGCAGTAATTGTTTCCAGGCACAATGTTCTAGAAGTTTTTCATGATGTATTATTTGCTCTTCAGTCAAATCTGTCCATTACCGTAGAGCATACTTTTTGAAACATACCTTTTAATAGTCCACACAGCCCCTTTTCCTAACGCTTTAATTGAGAGGTGTTTCTGAATCTGAATCCCATTTCTTTGTTTCTGGATGGTGCTCACTGGAAAAAAAAATCTTGCATTAACTAGAAACATCTCTCTGCTGCCTTTTAAGATATTCCTTAAGACAGTTTTCAGAAAGAAACTGTACCATCGCGTTAGGAAGATCTGTCAAGCACAGTGCTGTAAATTTAAAACAAAGTTTTGTGTTCTAAGGGGATATCACTGGCCATATATATATATATATATAAAATGTTTAAACAAAAAAATGCTCTGATACTAAAGAGCAAATGCAGTACAAAAACTGGAGCAAACTCCTATTCTAACAGTTGCTTCTGTGGATGCATTTGTGGGAATTACTGATTCTGGATGCTTTGAATCTTATGGAAAAGATTTGAGAAATCAGAGATGTATTTGCATAGTTCTTGCACAACCAAAACTAATCTCTTGTGTCTGTTTCAATTTTGTTTAATTCAACCCTGTTGAACAACTTGGCTAGAATGCAAGCTACATTTTTGAGTGCCTTCTGACAGATTTCTGTTGAATTACATCCGTAATACATCCAGCTTTATGATACAGCCTGTTGTCAGATTAATTAAAATTACAGCTGGATCTAATTAGTTACTTTTCAAATTCCAAAAGATACTGTTAGTTTAGAAAAGGAACTTAAAGCCAAGGTAAATAGTAAATCCTGATTACACAGTATTCAAGTTATGCCACCCTCTGATTTCTCTCAAATTTGTGTCTATGTTGCTTAAACAGTAAGTTTACCCGAATCTTGCATCTGCATTTTGTCATATAATGCTAAACAACATTTTAGAGCATAGTAAATAATTTAGTTTTCCAGTAGGTTGAAACGGTATGTTTAATAATAGAAAGACATTTCTAATAAAAAAGACTTGGAAATGTTGTTTAAAATTTTCAGCTGTAAAACGGTTTCCAGAGTTATACAGGATTCGTTGCACTCTGAAAATATTCCTGTTAGCTAATTCTACATTAGCAGAAATATATTTGTGCATTAATTTTTATATTTGTTCAGAATCAATGCTTGTTTCTTACTGAAGTTTCGAAAGTTTGTTTTATGAATTTTATTTGTATATATTGAGAGAGGTACCAAAAAATGGGTTCCTAACTATTATTCTTGGAGTTCTGTATTTATACTCCATTTGGGGAATTAGAAATTACCTGGAAAATTTGTATTTGAATAGACCATAACTTCACATTCTGAGACTATAACCGTACAGCAGGTTGGATAATAAATGCTTGTAATGTTCTGACTAGGAGTGACCTGCATATGTGTAGTGATAAAACAGCATATTACAGTTAGTGTTGCTTTTGCTTTTACCCAGTCCTTTTTTCCTCCAAAAGAAAAAAAAAAAAAAAAAAAAAAAAGTAATTCCCATGCCAGAATCCAAATACCCAAAAGGGAGAGATTCGGGCAAAACATTGCTTAATAAAGGGTAAAGAGTGTTGCCTTACAGTCATAGGGGAAAACGGTGAATGCGGGGATCTGTGCTACTGCCTATCAGTGGCTGAACCATGGCTTTGGTTGTATGTCACCTGTGACATTGGTGTACTCATTTTTTACATAGCTGGAGCATATTCCAGGTTTACCAAATGTAATGGCATGAATTGTAGTACATACATACACAGAGCAAGTGAAGGCACATGGCCTGCTTGCTGATTAGGTATTACGTGGGTTTAATATCCCAGGAACAGCACAATGTAGTGTTGTACAAAAATAGACTACTAATAAGTATTTCACTCTTCCCACGTGTACTGGGGTGGCGATTATTTTTGAAAGTGCACCTGACATTTGCACAGTGGTATTTGAGGCATACAGTGGTGCTGAAGGGAAGAACATAAACGGTACTATTTGTTAGGTCGTTGCCATTTGTTTTAAAGTAAAGTGCTGTCAGCCATGACTGGAGCGGAAGGATAATGAATATTCCTCTATTTGCAGCTATATGCCAGCCAGGATGCAAACATGGTGAATGTATTGGGCCAAACAAGTGTAAGTGCCACGCAGGATATACTGGAAAAACCTGCAACCAAGGTAAGAAAGTGAAGTCTGAGAAACAGAATTTCTTCTTGAAATCAGCAAAGTATTGTTAATCCCTCTCCCCTCAAATGCTATGTGTGTTGCCTGTGTTTAGAGGGTAATGAACTCATATACCAGGTCTGTTACTGCTGTAGCTATTCTGATGTTGGGACTGACATTTGTAGAGAGAATGACAACTGCAGTGGGATAACACAGGGGAAAAATTGCTTTCATTCCAATGAAATCAATGAGATTCATGTAAAGTATGTATTTACATGCTCTCCTGAATCTGAGTCAAATTATTTAAATCTTGTGGTCAGGATTGCTATTTCATAAAGTCAAAATTTGCAGGTTTGGATAGTGAAATAAAATCTGTTTAATTAAAAAAGATATTCATTCATGCATTCTCCTTTTTGTGTTTCTAATCCTGAACTACCTAGGTAGCAATACACTGTAGTGCATACTTAAAAGTTGGAAACATGAAGTGTTCTCCTACTGAATTCTCAATATAGTTTCACTTTGGTTTTTTTTGTGAAAAATTATGTCCAAACCGTGTAAAGGTATGATCATAGAGTATAAACAGAATTGTAATTAGCTTAGAATTCAGTTCACATACAAAGGTATCTCAATAAGACTGTTATCTTTTCCAGTTTCTTGGCCTACAGAAAATGTTCAAATGTTTTCTGAGAGTGCTGAGGAAGTACGGTAGAAGACTGTGACATTTAGAACTAGGTTGTTCAAAAATGTACCCTGATGTTTGCTAACGTTCTTTTGACATGTTGGTTTTAGAGTGGATTATTTTCTTTTAAAATAGACACACATTTATTCTCATATTTACTAATCACTCCCAAACTGATATGGAAATTAATGTTATATTTTTCAGTTTTGTTTAAGTTTCGTTTATTTTGTCATCTCTCAAATTATCCTCTCTCCTTTTTCCTTTACTCTGGACCGACATTTTAAAGGATGGGTTGTTACAATTTTATTATTCGACACCTGTTTTGATCAATCAAGAACTTTTTTAAAAAACAGTACAGTGAACTAACAGTTGTTACATGCATACGTAAGAGTTTTTATATGTACTAATAACTTTAACAATATCAAAAGAATGCTGTGCAAATTGCTGGAGGCTTCAGTCCTGAACTCAACTATTCACTTTTTACTCAATCCTAAGGAAGGAAAAAAAAGTGGTGATAGATGATTAAAGGAAGCCTTTTCGACAGTGTTGATCAATATTCTTGCATGGTATTGGTGGCAAAGTTGCCCTGGCAGATGTGCGTGAGGTTTCTGAGATGCCTGCTCACTGTGGTGTCCCAAGTGTACCCCAGTTTAGGTGACTACAGCCTATAGCTGTTCTTATTATATGGTGGGACCCTTGAGCTGTTCCTGGGGTCAGGCTATGCATTATTCCCATGCTGATTTCATGCTAGGATGGGACCTGAAAGTGCATAGTGGATGCAGAGCCTGCTTTTTCTGGGAGGAGATTCACATTGCACGGGATAAATGTGACCTATTATTATACCCTAATATAGCACCTGTCCTGTTCAGTCTGTGGGCCATCTTTCTCGTTGCTGTTCTAGAATAATAATTAGTAGTAACAGAAGGTATGGTGTTGGCAGAAGAAACGGTGGAGTTGGCCTGCAGAGATGGAAGTCTTGCTAGGATGTATGATGATGCCTGGATGCTTGTTCTTTTCCAGTGGCACTGCAGCTTCTGTGGCAATTTAGACCTCTCTTTAGATTACTCAGAAGTTAGGATTAGCTGTTACTTCTTTTATATGCTGCTATCATCAGCAATTAAATTGCAGTGATTTAGCAAAAGAGCTAACCATATGCTTTTGCCACAGCATTCAAATCTCCTGAGTGGATTTAGCGTTTCCCTTCTAGCTTTTTGATCCCAGGTTTACATCTGTAACCAGTTAAGAAAAAACTGAGCAACTTGAAAGAAAATAACCTGTGCCAGCTCTCTAATTTATAGTGATAATAATGGAACTAATACTTCTTTCCAAATGTGTTCATCAGAAAATTGATACAGGCTCTTCAGTAAGATCTGTGTTCACAGACAAATACAAATAGTTGAAAACTTGTGATTTTTGCTAGCAATCTAAAGCATATGCAGGCTAACTGTGCTTATCTGGACAAGATTGTCTTTATGCAAAGACTGTTATGCTGCTCTTCTGTAATTTAGTATCTCTTACCCTGTTTGTTCCAGGAACATGATGCAAAGTTGCAAAGTTTGCTATTTTCTCTTTCTGTAATGCAATTCTTGTCAGCACTTGATATCAATCTTTTTTTTTTTTTTTTTTTTTAAATGATGAAGTAATGCATATTACAAAGATCTGGTAATTTCATTTTTATTATGCCTTCTTCCCATACTGTGAAGATGAGCAGCCATATGCAAGTCTACCTGGTCAGAGCAGTGAAGCACTTCTGTTCCACCCCCTGGATCATCGTGCGAGAAATATAGCATCAAGGGGTGAGATGGTCCTGTATTTCAGGTGGCGTGCTCCTTCTACCTGCACGGCTTGAAACAGTAATACAATTTCTTGCAAAGGGTATGGAGGCTACTAGACCGATGGCTGTGATGCAAAAGCTGAACCTGCAGTGTCATTAGCATGCAAGCACATAATTGATTGTATTTCCTTGATGCTGTGTGCCTTTAGTCTGAAAAGGCTTGACTCTCCACCATACTCACGGTTGTAAGTTGCTTTTGTTTCTTTCCTCTGCTTTTCTTTCAGGTCCTGCACTTTATTTGTTTCTGAGTTCCTTTGTAAAGTGAGAGCAATGGAAACTGTGTATCAGGTTAGATAAAGACAAAACTGTGATTTACACAAAGCTGAAAGTTGAAGAAAACGAGGGTTGTTAACTTCTGCATTTGGCAACTGTTGATTAATCAGACTAAGAGATGCGAAGGAAACTCTCTTAGGGTGATACAAATCTCTGGTCATAAGCCTGACATGGCGGTGAGATGATAGTTGCTGGAAATGAAAGCTGATCTACTGTTTATAGTATGGTGTTAACAATTTAATTTTTTACTTGGTTTCTGGTCCCTGGCCTTCTATTTTCAAAGTCTGAGTAAATTTGGTATGGAATATTTGACCTTTGTGTTGCTCGATCCAAGATAGCTAATGGGCAGAAAAACGCAGAAAAGGTCTGAGTGCTGGAATCTTCTGCAGAAGCTAATTAAAGAAAATAGCAGAGCGTATTGCATCTTCGTAGGAATAAGTGCCCCATTGTTAAGTGTGCACTGAAATCAATCAGTATCCAAGATCATGTGTGGTACCACACAGTAGTCAGAGCAGTCACATCTGCATTTCCCAGCATAGCATTCTTGTCTTTTCTTCGCATTCACGTTTTCATTTAATTTCTTTAAAAATAAAATACTTGTGCTCAGCAGGTTGCACTTGTGTTATAGACCTGCTTTCCATACTGCCCAGAACTGCCACTCCGCTTTTATGTACGCTGCTGTCTTACATTATTTTGAATTAAAGAATGTTGGTTTTGCATGACTGTACAGTTGTAGGCAACATGGGAATCTAAGTGGCTGAACAATGAAATTCTCAAGTGCGGGACACAGTGAGAGGACATTTCCACAAAGGAATCAAAGGGATTTGTTAAACTTTTTAACAGTGTTGGGCTCTATATTTAAAATTCCAGTGCGAGATAAGTGACTAAAAGAAATGATGATATTTTATTAAAATTAAAAACTATTTAAAACCATTATTTTTATTACCCTTGAGTTTATACATTTTAGCTTGCCTTTTTTTTTTTTTTTTTAAGAGGAAAATTCAGCTATTTTCTTACTTCCTCTTTTGATGCATAGAATTTACACTGAGTTGTCTTTGTAGCTGTTGCTGGAAATACACAGTTGATAAGTAACCAGCATTTGTTGAAGAGGTTATGTTGCTATGGCTGATTTTTTTGACTGCTAACGTTAGCCTGAACCTGTTCTTGAAAACATAGACCTTACGTAAGGAACAAGAAACAAGAAACACACACACAGAGTGTATAAATAGCAGGGCTGTTTCGGTGCTCCTGCAGTCCATGTGCAATGCATCCGGACTCCTCTCAGGGAAGCTCGCTGTTACAGATTATGGGTGCATGGAGGTGGATCAAGAGAGCTGACAGCATATTCATCCAGGCCTTTGTGCAGAACCAGTGGGACCTGACAGTAATCGTACAACGTGCCTCCTAGCAGACTGAAGGGTGCTTGTCATGCAGTTTCCAAGTATGTGCCTGTCTGCGTTGGTGAAAAGAAGAAAAGTTGCATTTTAGGGAAAATAAGATGGGCTGAGCAGTATGCTCTAACACATCTAACCTGTTTGCAGGCTGACTTCTCTCTTAAGCAGCCACACCACTGCCAGTACGTGTTTTCCTAAACAGTAGCATTCATTTTGACTCCACAAAGTTAAAAACATCTTTCTCTCAATAGCTAATTTAAAAGTCAAAGATGAAAACCTGTGACACATGAAATTTAGGTTCAAGTGGAGTTGTGCTAACAGCCTGTTTCTTCTGCCTTGTGACCTTAGCTTTCTGTTATGTCAGCCAAGGTTAAAAAATTTGAACTTTTTCAAGGCACAGCCATTTTACTTTCAACATGCTTTTTAAGATGTGAATCAAAAGCTGATGTTGACAGCATTTGTTCACAGGCAGAAATAGAATGCAGTGAAGACAGTAGAAATAATTTGGTCAAAATTCCATAAACGAAAAGCCTGTGATGTGATATCCTAATATAGTTGATTGCATCTACTTTTTAAGATCAGGTTATTCTCAGTATATGTTACTAATAGCTGTCTATTTGTCAATACCAGAGCTTTCATTTCTGTACTAAGAATATTTTGTACCAAATGGTGGTGTAGTATTCAGAGTCCTATAGAAAGATCCAATTATTTAAGGCTCATAATGTAATCTATACTTTATGCAAGACGGTAAACTGAGAACAGTCATAAATTCTTATCGTTTTCAACTTCGGATCTGTGCTTGTAGCTCTGAAAATAAATGCAAGATAGTTCTTAAGGGTAAAGTCTTTGGGAGTACCTGAATTGAGGAGCTGAAGTGCAGTGGGATGTAAGCACTATAAGTTAACACAGGCACAGTTAAAATCCTGCCCTGTCAGCTTAATTGCAGCATTACCTTTCCTCATTTGGTTCCTACTTCTAATTAAGTATTTTATACTTAGCTCTGTCATGAATTTATTATGTACAGTGATGCTTTTTGTACAAAAGAGGAAGAATACAGATAGACTTACAGAACTTCTCTTACTTCAAAACTATTGTTGTCCATGATTCTCAGAATAGTCAATAGTGTGGGCTCTGTAGGGATACTTTTATGAATTGATGTAGAATTCTAACAGATTTGTTAAATTTAACAATGACTTCTTTAACAGATGTGTTGCATATGTAATAAATATGTTAATACAGCTATAATGTCTATCAGGAGCTGCCTAATTGTAGTAAATTTTACAGAAAAAATTTAAAAAGCAGCTTTTTGTGCAGCCCAGAGAATTTTGCTTTCCAAAATGTGGCCTTTCACCTAATTATTATTGAGCATTTTTATATAAAGTTTTTTTTACACAAAGATTTTCACAATGAAAACTTGCCCTTCCCCTCTAGTGTGATCAGCTTTTCCATCTGACCAGTGCAGGTACTCTATAAATAGTCACAACTCTTAGCTGAAGATCCCACTTTCACGGTAGAAAATGTCCATCTCTTCTGCAGCTGTTTCTCTCAAACCCAGCAGGTACACTCTTGTCATTGTGGCATTGGTGCCTGCTGGGGGAAGTGTGTTCTCCTCGCAACTCCAGAAATGTTTTCAGGCTCCCAAAGAGTGAGAGTTGAAAAGGGATGCTCTTTCTGCAACATGTGATCTGTAGGAAGACTTGAGGAGATGGTCATTGCTCCTTGTTTGTCAGGCACAGGTCCAGCCCTTACTTCGGCAACTTTTCCTCGCTGAAGTCCTGCCTACACTCACCTGGTCTTCCTTGCCACTCTAGGAGAAAACGTTTTCCTTCAGGCTTCCTATAAACATCTTATTCAGCTTTCTGCAGGAAGAAAGGGAAAATTATGACCCTTACCACTACCCTCTTGCAGCAGAGGGGAAGTATTCTTATCCTTCACCTTGCTGCTCTTCCATATCCATCAGTTAGGGGAAAGGTTGTGGAGAGGGACAAATACCTGTCTGCATGACGCTTGCTCTTCCTTGACCCCATGAAGATGAAAACAAAGTAGGTCAGAAGACAACGGGTGTGATGATACACATAAACGCTGTCCAGAATTACTGACTTCATTTTAACCAGAGATATATTTGTCTTTCTGCTTTAACGTCGTAACTCTAAGCCTTTACATCTAGTCCATAGAAAGCATGCGTCTCCTTCTCGGCTGGCTTTTTATAAAGTGGCTACTGTGTTTGTGTGTCTGGCACATGGTAGATGCCCCAAGGCTTTCCTTTCTGCTACATGAATTAGGGATTGATTTTTGATCAGAATGTGCTTAGTAGTGGAGATGGCTCTTTAAAAAGTTCCTGGAAATAACGGAATCTCCTACTGTAGCAAGACCTCTGGGCAGGATTGTGCAATATTAGAGGTGAGCGTTGGCAACTCAGTTGTTTAAGTACTTGTTGGCTGGATTTGTGAATAGATTTATTATTTTTACCTTTTTTGCATCTTTACTCATCAGCACACAGATAACTAAGTAACAGACTATTCTGGTTTACCCAGATAAAACCAACACACATTCTTGGAATGGAATTCTGAAGGAAATGCTTACTTAATCTTTACTGCCTGTTAGAACTCTTGTCTACTAATATGAAAATTGTAGGCTGAATATATTCAGTTTAAGTCATGAATTCTGTATTAAGTTGTAAATCTGAAATAGTAACCTTCATGGATAGTCCTTGACAAATATCACTGATGTCAGATACTTTTTTTCCAGTCTGTTCTAGATGGTGAGGAGTACATTTTTTCTGTGAGATTTAGTGTAGGTTGGCCTCAGCTTTCCTACCTTCCTGTGTGACTAATTTTGAGGCATGTTAGTGAACCACTGAATTGCTATCAGAATCACTGATAGCGATTGCAGCTGTGACATTTGCTTTCTCCTTCATCCTCCTATCCCAGAGTTGTGGCTGGTCCTGGACATGGCATCAACGTGAACAGTGGCAAGATGTGGGCAGCCTGAGCTTGTGCATTCCCTAATGAAACTTCTGTTGGCACTTAATCTAATGCTAATACTATCACTTCTGAAAGGATATCTGAAGCAGAAGAAAATATGCCACTTGGCAGGAGGGGTGAACAGCGCTTCATGCGGGATGTTCTGGACACTTGCTCTCAGCTGGACTGCATATAAAAAGCTAATCATTGTCTTTTTCCTTCTTTTTCCAGGAACTTGAACTAGTAGGTTTTTCACAAGTACTTTGTATGTTTTCTTTCCCCACCCCCTTCCCTTGTACCTTTCATTGCAGATCTAAATGAATGTGGACTAAAGCCACGGCCGTGCAAACACCGGTGTATGAATACCTACGGCAGCTACAAGTGCTACTGTCTGAACGGCTACATGCTTATGCCAGATGGAACGTGCTCAAGTACGGCAAGGCTTGTTGCTTTCTGTTTTCAGAGTCCTCAAGATCCCTGCTTGGGTTTCTCTGGGAAACTTGTATGAAATGAAGATGAGTCCCAAAGTAAAATATTAATCGTGCTGGAAATGAGGCAGTTGCACAAGATGAGCTGCTTTTTTCTAATGAAATTAGTCTGAACAAAACAAGAGCAAATATTTTGATTTTATTAGTTTTATTACAAGCTTCCCCAGAAGCATTCTTCAGTGCTGTAAATCACTGTTAATTGGCCTTCAAGGACAAGTCTTGCAGTTTTCATTGCAGCAAGACACCTGCAGCTCTGTTGTATTATGTCCTTATGAATGTAAAATCATTAAAGCTGCAGATGTTGGTTGTTTGACTGGTATAAAATTGTACTGTCATCTTTCTGGAGATCAGGTTCCTACTTGCTCCCATAAAAGAGGATATTTTGAGTGTCTGGACAGAGAGAAGGGGAGAGAAATTACCTTTAATTAAAGATGCTTCTATTTTAAAATGTCAGTACTGTCCAGGAGGCTTTATAGTACATACTGGGGTTTATATTTCTTATGGGGGCTGCATTCCATGACACAATTTGCTACAGTCGTGGTGGTGGTTTTGTTTTTTGTTTTTTGTTTGTTTTTTTTTTTTTTTTCTGCCTTAGAGATGCAGTTTGTGGAAAGAAAAAAAAATTACTGCGTGTGCATTTGCTCTTTAAAGCCTGGATGGATACCTGTCAAATTCAACAAGCATTTTTCCACTTCTGTCATAATTATATGATGTCTTAATTCTCCAGAGTTTTTAGTCATTCTCTGGTACTGACCAGATCCTTATCTAATCTGTTCAATTATTTTTCCCTAGATGCCCTGTCTTGCTCAATGGCAAACTGTCAGTATGGCTGTGATATACTGAAAGGGGAAGTACGCTGCCACTGCCCTTCTCCAGGACTGCAGCTAGGGCCTGATGGCAGGACTTGTATAGGTAGGTGATCAAATGTAGATTTTTTTTTTTTCTTCTCTAAAATGCTTCTTCCACTGAATGCAGTTCAAGCGAGTTTATCAGCTGTATTTAGCATGTGTCATCCGTGCAGTTTAAAGGCATTATGAGTAAGAACTGGAATAGGCATGTTGCTCAGATGCTCTCAAGTAGTCTGTGTCAGAGATCGCCAGTGTTTTCCTCCAGTCCTGCAAGTTTCATTGACTGCTTAAAACTCGTACAGGCTGCTGGGCATCCAAGCCCTCAGCCCTTACCACTCCCCTTACTGGGGCGTTTTATCTGATTGATAACAGAGACTCCAAAATACCTGTCTGTATACAAAAAGGAATGGGGAGATCAGCTCTGCCTCATACCCCGCCAGAGTGGTGCCTAGGCTCAGGGAGTAGAGGGGTAATTAATGAAAATCATTGAGATTATACTAGGACAAGGTAAAGATCTGTGCATGCTCCCAATATGGATGGGGTTGAAGCTACTGTCTGTCTTCCATACTGTGAAAACTCCAGGTTAAAATAAACTCAGGAATTCAGACTGTATAAATGTGAAGTGTTTTGTTCCCACATTCATGAACATGGAAAATATGCTTATGGTGAATCAGCCTGTATTGTGCCACAGTCTACTATGGTCTGAAGATCAGTGTGATGCATGATTTCATTAGTCATTAACTATACATCCTGGGTGGATATGATGCTCCAGTGATTTTATTATTTATGTCCTATGCAGCGCTACAGTTCTGTAACCAGTAACAACACTTGCACTGAAAGAATGAAAGAGAATGTGGATGCCCTAATCATCCATTTGGGTGTCAAGGCGGTCCACAGGGGTGGTTGACTCATGCTGACCAAGAATTTGTTGTCAGAGCAAGGGATGTATTCTGGATCTTCTGATGTGAGGAGCAGGCTCAGCTCTAAGTCGGAGGCTTTCTGAAGTGCATGACTGGCACATTTATGTATGCAAAAGAATGGGTAGAACAGTATTAAAAAAACCCACCATTGTGATGTGCTGAAGAGATTGAATTGTGACTAATCACGCTGTGGACTTTATGGCAGACAGAGATCTTTGGAAGAGAGTTGTGCCATGGCATAGCAAGCTGAGTAGTATTAAGTATAAATTCAAGGAAGTTATACCAAGTACAGAAATTTGCTAGAAAAAGACTTGCAAGATTCTCCTAGTGTGTATTTTTAGATTAAGGCAAACTTCATACTTTAAAATAAGCAAAGTGCACTTTTAATGCTGAAGATCAGCACTCAAAGCAGTTATATGAAATTCTTTCAGTTCTTCAGTGTAGTTTTCAAAAAAACACTTTATTTACCAGAAATATGAAGAACTGTACCCACATTTCAGTTAAGTATTCATCCTTCAGATTGATCTCATAACCTGTTTTTAAAATTTTCCACGAAAATTTCAGAGCAGTCTTCTACAATACAGAGAAAGTAGTCACAGCAAGAGATGTCTGTCCTTCATGAGTCATAACATGATCTACTCCCCTTTTTTGGTAAGAATTGATTGTGACATGCACCCTTTTTGTATTGTTTCTCTATCTAGTTTGAGTTGTACTAAAACCAGTGAATACCTCCAAGAATTGAAACGATCTGGGGCTAAGATTGTGCCTTTTCCTCATGTGTACAAGCCCATCACTGCTGGGGAGACTGTCAGCTCCAGTGAGGGTCTGGGTATTGCTGCCTTACAAACAGAAGTGTAAATGATGGTAAAAAAATTCAAGCATGCATTGGCTGCAGCTCATGAAATCCCTGTTTGAGGAGAGTTTGAAAGACATCTGGGAATGTAATGCTTATTTTTAGCACAGGTGGAAATTCCTCTAGGCATTATTCTATTCTTGGTTTAACCCATGTTTATCATTCTTTTGTTAAAATACTCCTTCCAGACAATCAGTAAAGAGCCACCAAATAATTGGGCTATGAAGGTAAATCATATAAACTAAATAACAATGAATTGGAAAATAATTCACCAGAGTATTCAGTGAAAATATGGATTAATTGACTAATTGATTAATTAATCTTGAATCAATAAATCAATCAGTGCTGCCAGATTTTTTGGTTGGGATATTCATTTAATGAAGTTAGCAGTATACACATTTCAGCTTCAGAAGGTCTGAAATTATTTGAGGACTGAAAATAATTATTTTCACTGTAAAATAATTTTTCTTTAGCTGTTCTGGTTGTGTATAGAAACTTGAAAATCTGGCCTTGTAATCTTAAAAATCATAGTAATTTTAAATCAGTCTCACGGGTGTTTAGTGCCTGAGTTGGTAATGTGGTCCCACTTCAAGCAGGGTTGAAGCACGGCTTTGTAATTCTGCTGCTCTGTTGAACGCTGACCGCCGCACGCGTTGGGTGCTGTCTGTGTTACGGGCCTTGAGCAGCTCCCTGGCGCTCGGTCTGGGCACACACTCGTGGCAGAGCAGGCTGAGGGGAGAATAGAGATCTTCCCCTTGCGCCCTGGTTTCCATAGGAAGCAGGCATGAGCTGCAGCATGTTGCAGCAGGGAAAGGGAAACAGCCTTTACACCCTTTGGGCCAGGGTGTAAATTGGCATGGGTCCGTGGCCTTGGAAGAAGCCACAGGGGCTGTACTGTTTGAGAACTGCAGCAAACTGATCGTAAAAACTTGCGTAACAGCTTCTGGCTAATGACTGGAATGTGGTTTTCCCACCAGTAACAAGAATTCGCCCACCTCGCATATTAAATGCAAGTAGTAGGCTGTTACTTTTTTCCATTGTTTTTCTGTCAGTTTTCAACAGTGAATTGATTAGCAGTTCAGTCCTCTATCTTTAGGATGGATAACTGCCTAGAAAATTAAGCAATACCACTACAGTGCTCTCATCATCTAACGCTTTTTGCCTTATGGAAATTTGCAAAAGCATGAATATGTACAGAGGGAAAGGCAGGACAGTCCGCATTAGGTTTTAAAGGGCATAATCCATGCCATGATGAGGTATATTCAGTGGCTTATCTTTTTCTTACTGAATTGCTTTTTGAAGTTGTGGTTTAAAGATAAAAACAGCAACAAACTCATAGTAATCAAGAGTCTGAAATTTACAGCATTGAAATAATATTTTATAATAAAGGACAGAAAATTGTAGCTTGTAAGTCAAACAACGGAAAGGAACATGGTAGAATTTATACAGCTGTTAATAAGGCACTCACAGCCTAAAGCTTTAATAATAGATTCAGCCGAGAGGCAGATTGATAGGGAGGTTCAGGCATGTGGAGAGGTGCTCAGTATTGGCCTCGTTTGCTTTCTCGTTCAGGCCTTTACCGTGGCATTGCAGAAGTGCTCCCGGCTGAGAGTAAAGGAGAGCTGCTATGTCAGAGAAGTCTGATGGGCCAGGAGTGTGGGAGCTCGGGGCTTGAATCCTTGCTGTCCTCAGTAATTCTTCATGCAGAGTGGGCAGTGCCAGCATGAGCTACTGGGACAGACCATCTAGCCAGTAGTTTATGGCTTCAGGTCACTTCTTTTGGCTGTGGGAAACACAGTTTGGAGAATTTGAAGCTACATCTCCCCTGCCTCCGGTAGCTGCCCTAACTAACTGGCAGTGTTGTGGCAGCATTTTTCCTGTGCTGTGCAAGAAACTCAGGTTTCTCTCTGCCTTGTTCAGGCCTCTTTCACAAGCAGCAGGGCATCAATCACTCAGCTTTGTTTTGTACTCTTGACACCTGCAGCTGAAGCACTCCTTTCGGGAAAAGAATTGCGTGGAGAGCAAAATCTTGCTTTCCTGATAGAGCTGCAGAGCAAAGGCTTGAACCGTGCTCTGTAGCTAACCAACGAACATCAGGAGCGGCATGCCTCAGAGGCAGCCGTGCGTGGCAGGCCTCTACCTCCGTGAAGAACTAGGGTTCAAGCTCTCAGCAGGCTTCGCTTCAGTTTCCAAGGGCTACAAAGTGAGTAGTAGCACAGGCACCTTTTGTGTGTCAGCCTGACCTCATCTGACAGTTTCCCACTCGGCGAAAGCAGCGCTGGGTTAGCATCGGCTGCTCCCTGGGCCGCTGCCTGGCTTGTTAGTCAGCATGAAGAACAGCATCTTCTGGGAGATGAGGAGCATCTGACATCTACTGAGCATCACCCGTGTCTTCCCACTCCTCTGGCCTTGGCCTGGACGTTGCTTGCAGAAGCACTGTTTCAGGTCCTGCTGGGAGCCCGTGGCAGGGCAAATGAGAGCCATGTATCTCAGAACCTCAGAGGTATTTTAAGGTCACTTAGGTAACCAACCTCTGTGAAAGACAGGTCAGCTACAGCGCAGGCACTGCAGGGTAAGAGATTGCAAAGAGCAGGTACTCAAAAAGCATTTGGCCTGTGTTAACTAACTGTTAGGAGACCCAGAAATACTGCACCCCTGCCATTAGCTTGAACTCTCTTCATTTAGAGGAAATCCTGAACAGATGAAGATTTCCTGATAAGTTCAATGGGCAGGGACGCCTGAGATTTTAAGAAAACAAACCACTTTCTACTGCAAGGTGATGTACGTTGAATATGCGTGTATGACCTGTGCTACAAAAACAGTATTTCAGGCACGTTTCAGAAAAAGAATTACTGGGGTAGTTTTTATTATTATTCCTTGTCTGTAAATCCGGGTGCTGTCTTTATAACCAGGCAGGGCTTAGTGGAACAAAAGTAAGTTCTACAAATAACATGAAACAGCTTTTCTTCAGACAAATACCATTACAGTTTTAAGGATGAGCGTTTTGGGGCCTTGAAGCTGTCATGCGTTCTGTGGGGAATTAGAGAGTGCCTCCTCTCCAGAGGGGAAGGTACCAGGATGGCAAGAGCATGGAGCAAGCATTCCAAATTCAATAGCAATGCCTACTATGCCAGTGCCTCTCTTGTCACTCACAGTATTTGTAAAGGCTTCTGGCACAGGAAGCATAAAAAACTTGGGGGTGTGACCAAGAGCTGAACTCAGATGTCACAGCCAGAAGTGCTCGGGTGTTACTGCTGGCTGACCAGCTTGTAGCCAAAATGACCTTATAAAAAATACTTTGGCTAGTCTTCTTTAGTGTTTCATTATGTGAAGCCAGTTGAATTTAGATAGTATAGATTGTATTTTAACTGCTATTAAGAATAATATAGTTCCTTTGTTTTCACAGATATTGATGAGTGTGCTACTGGGAGAGTTATCTGTCCACGATTTAGGCACTGCGTCAATACTTTTGGAAGCTACATTTGCAGGTGTCATAAAGGCTTTGATCTAATGTACATCGGAGGCAAATACCAATGCCATGGTAATAACAACTTATTTCTTCTGTGTATGTAATACAGCTGCATGTTCTAAACTGAAATTAGTGGTTTAAAGAGGAATGTTTGCGTATTATGGCTGAAATGTTGAAGCAGCTTGCTTTAGGTTGCACTACATCTGTATTTTAGGACAGAGTGGATTATAGAAATAGACTGTGAAAAAGAAAGCATATATTTGGCCCCTATTGTAGCTAGTTCTCCTGTGGAAGCCAGTGGGAGAGCAGAGGTGATGACCCCAGGAATTCCTTTCCAAAGCCTTTGTCCCCACAGGTTTCACTGTGCACAGGCAGTTGTAGGTTTGGAGCAGCATATGAGTTTAGGCTATGTCTGAGCTGCAATGCAGGTGTGCTCTGTAGCGTGTCCCAAGATCCAAGATAAGAAAACATGGCTAGAGCACACCCCAGCTCTGTCTAACCCAGTTTGCCCAGCTTTCCTTCCCCTGAAGACAGGTAGGGAAAAGGCAGGGCTTGGAAAATAGCCTGTCTTTGTCTGGACATGAGACTGGAATGCAGCTGGTGTATGCCCTTCAACAATGATGTTCCCAGGTCCCACTGGCTTAGTTTCCCAGGGCCTCAACTGGTTATGATCCTTTCACTGAAAAAAAGGAACAGGTGGAGGTAATGAGCATTGCTTTATGTTTGTTTAAGTATATTTTTTTGGAGAGAAATCTCTATGCAGAGCGCTGGAATTTGGAGATTTTTGCTTGCATCACTAATAACAAACACGGAAATGCTCTATGTTTGAAGCAGTGTCTAATTAATGTAGAAACATCTGTTCAGATGTATAACAGAGGAGGCATTTTATGAAAAAACAGTTTAATACCTGCATGATTAAGAACATGCACATTCTTACACTCAGTTTTTTCGTTTCTTGTTATGTCACCTTAAGAAGTTTTTATTAAAATTGTGATTTTCATGATCTGAACTGCAATCTACCCACAGCACATCACTGAAGCTGATGCTAAGGTATAAGCTGAGCAATAACAGTGTTACACAATAGTCCCTTTTACCCTGATGTTTGTATCACCACGTTCATTTGTGACTGTCTATCTTCCTTTTCCCACTGGCAATTCAGCTTTATTACATTTTTCAAAATGAATGATATTTTCCTAATGACTATGCTACTGTTTGTGGTTTTGCAGGTATAAGCAGAAAGTCAAGTTTCTTTGATGTAAATGATTTTTGTTAATGTAACTTTCTGTTGCAGATGTAGATGAATGTTCCCTTGGCCACCATCAGTGTGGTAGTTTTTCACGATGTTACAATACACCAGGATCCTACAAATGCAAGTGTAAAGAAGGATACAGAGACAATGGAACAAACTGCATACGTATGTAATGCTCCTTTTAAAAAAGGAATTTTGAAAGTGTCCCATGTTGTAAATTTTGAGATACAGCACTATCAGGCTCAGTTTCTCTTAACTATTTTTAATACTTATTAAGGGGCCAGGGAATGTAGTCAGAGTTTTCTCAGTCTTAGCATGCCTTGGTAAAAATATCTTTAATCGAGACATTTTCATAATTAGAAAGAAATTCACCTCTCCCTATTCACAGCTTGATTCTCGAGATTGCTGCAGGATGAGAACAACTGAGTAAGCAGGGTAGGTCTGGTCAAGTGGTACATATTACTCACACCCTGTTATTATGCACACTCTGCCACTGGCCCATTTCAGCAGCTCACCCCATCCACTCCCCACTGCTCCCCAGATGTGAGCGCAGCTGGGAGGGAGGATTTCTCTGGAAGAATTCCCTGTGGGAGAATTACCTTCCTCACCTTTCTCTTGGGAACAGCAGCAGCTGTCCCCCTTGGTCCAGAATAGGCCATTGGAGCTCCCCTACATTTGACATCCCTCAGGACTGTGCAGCTCTGTGACATCTGCTGAGTCTTCTCAAGGACCCTGTGTTCATACGTGGGCTCTGGGCTTTGGTGACTCGCTGATCTCTTTAAAGAGCAGTACCATTGCAGACTCGTTTCCTTTGGCTGTAGCTGCCAGGGTAATGTGATCTGGCTAAGGTGATCTTTCACAACCTGAGTGCTTGCAATTATATGTGGACACACTTCACGTGTGTTTCTGGGACATAGTCCCAAGGCACATTATATATTTTAGTATCCCATAATGTAAAAACCGCAGGGTATTCGAAAGCACAGTAACAAACAGGTGGCCAGAGAGAAAGCTTTTTTACCTGCTGTCATCAAACAATACATTGTTTAACCAATGGTAGTTCTTAATTTTAACTGTGTGTTTTACTTGAAACACTCAAACACAAAGTACATGACTAGAGTTCTTACTGGGGCTTTTAAGATCTCCAGTGAGATATAAAAGGCTTATTAACAAATAGAAAATTATAAATAACAAACCGGATGTTCTTGCATTTCATGTCTGCAGAAACCCCGCCTTGTGAAACCAAGTTAAAATTTGTTGTCCTTTCTTTATGAAGTATTGGGGGAGGTGGTACTGTAGTCACTGTCACTGTGGAGTAGGTGGTGCTCAGCTCACCTTCTCCTTTTTGTGGAAGCTGAAAAAATGCCATTTACTTAATTTCCTGGTGTTGAGCAAAGGTAAGGATCTAAATGAAGGCTATTGGCTTAGGTTCAATCTCTGTAAAATGATTAATGCTTACTGACAAGGAGAAAAGTTTAGAAGTGGAGAGATCTGAAAGATCATTTCTTAAGTCAACGATATCTGCCCATCCATGACCAAAATGGTTGTAACATTGGCGTCTTACTAAACTTCCCTCTGCTCCTGAGTACAAACTTGTCCAGTGTAGAGGGCTGATGAACAGGCATCTTCCTGTCCATGCGTTTTTACTAACAGTGCTTTTGGGTAAGTTTTGCCAACTCTGCAAGAGAGTTGATGCTTGGGAGGAGGTGGGGATGGAAGTCTCTTGGCCTTCAGTCGTTCTAAATCATCTCTAAACTGCTGTAATGAGTACTGTCTGAAGGGATGTGATAATTCAGCAGTGCTGATGCTAAAGTATGTTTCTAATTAGTGGAAACATTCAGAAGAAGAGAAATGATTTCAGCAAAGGCTCTCTGCGTCATAATGAAAGGTATTGTTAAGTTTCTGGAGCAAGGGACTCAGATGTCCACTTTGGTCCCATTTTGATTCTCTTTGCAGTTATTCCTAATGTTATGATTGAACCACCTGGTCCATATCATATATTCAAGGGCAACAGCACACTTCCTAAAGGAGGCAGTGATATAACCAATGGGATTCCTGATATTGGAGGCACAAGGCAACCCCTCAGACCATCATATGTACCTGCTGTTGTTACAGAAAGGCCAGTGACCAGGCCAACGACTCATCCCACACCCGGGCCAACAACTCGTCCTACACCGGGGCCAATGACTCGTTCTACACCCAGGCTAACCACTAGGTATGTGCCAGTGACAACAAGGCCACTAACAAAGCCAGGGACAAGGCCTCCACCTCCAACACCGCCTCCACCTCCAACACCACCTCAACCAACAATGTTAAGACCTACACTGTCACCACAAAGAACTCCTCTTGTAACAACTGAAGAGCCTTCACATGTTCCCACTGAAACTACATCTTCCCAAGGAATTACAGACGACAACAGGATCCAGCTAGATCCTCAGAAACCCCGAGGAGATGTGTTCAGTAAGTAATTTTACATATCCTTTCATTTATCAGAATTGCAGATGCAGTGAGGTGAAAGTGTGCGCTGTACTGTTTAGTTTTTTTGGAACACCTTATCAATAAGAACAAATAAATGAAACTGAAAATGGCCATATAGTAAAGCTGCAAAAATAATTTATTACCTAACAAAAATGTGGGGAGGAAGTTCAGAATCAATTCAACCAAAAATTTATTTTTTTTCCTCTTCCCGAAATTATTTGTGAGCATATCATCCTATGTAAGTGCTTAACCTAATTATGGTTTCAGATTAATGTTTTGGAGAAATGAAAGACATTTTACTGAAAAGTATTGAAAATTCAGGGAGTTGAGAATCACTCATAGACAGCATATTGCCATAACTTTAAGAAAGGTAAGAAATGGGACCACGCCTGATTGCCTAAAGACTGTTATGTCACCTGTATTGTAGGAATTCAAGTAGTCTTGGATATTTATGACTAAGCAATGGGAAAATTGCGTAAAAATAACAGCGGCTAATGTTATGGACTGCATCTCTGAAAATGGATACATGAGAAGCTGAAGATAGTAAAGATTCTCATAGCGTGAACACATGTCATTTTAAGAGCTTCTCTGAGATTTGCAGCAGCATTTCTAGGCCAGCTCTAGTGCATACCACAGAAGACATTACTGGCACATGCAGAGTTACACATATCTGCCAAGAAATACTCAACACTCGATTTCATCTTTAGTTCTGCAGCTAATTTTAGAGAGGGTGTGCTGGATCAGCCCTTCTCCTTCAGCTTGACGTGCAATAAAGCTGCTGAAGCAGTGTAGTAGGAGGAGAAGTTTGCTGTCTCAGAGCAGGTGTACAAGCAACGTGGGAGATTTTTCCGGTTGCTTTGGCATCTATGTGGTAACTTCTTGGGCTGTGTTCTGTTAGGTCATTACACAGCGAAATATTTTGTTCCTTGTAAAAAAAGGTTTATTTTCCCTGTTGACATTTTATCTGTTGTAGACAGTTTGATAAGTTAAAAATGGAGACAGAAGCTGACTTAGAATTTGGGAAGAAAAATCCTGATACTACTCAGAGGAGTGTGCTTTTGGCTTTTTCAAGGTTATTTTTTAAACAATCTATATTCAGGTAAAAATATAAAAACATTTTTATGTAAAATCCTAAAAAGAAATATAGCAAAGACTCTCAGAACTAAATATAATGGGAACCAATTGTTAAAAATACAGAATTATGTGGAAATTAGAATCTAGCGTGGTGCTTCCCAGGTGTCTCATGTTGCAAGTGTTCTCTGGAATTCTAAAGCAGAGGGATGGTTTTCAGCTATTTTCATGAAGTAATAACAATCATTTGTATAAAACTTATTATTTACAGTTAGTCTTTCTGTGTTCTCCTGACAGGCTAGATTTTGAAGCTGATGCTTTCAATACGTATCCTTCAGATACAGAGGTTTGGAAAGCACAGAAGTAAAAGCATTTTCTGATTGTAAGCTTATGTTATGGTACATACAACAAACACAGGAGAAAATCACCTTTGCAGAGTGTTTATCAACTATTTATTTAGGTCAGCTGCCACCCTTTGAGGTTTGTAATATACATGTGCATTAAGCCTTCAAAGGTTACAGTGCACAGTATGGCAGGATTACAAGAGGTCAAGCACCAGCAACTGTTACTGGCCTCAGCTGATAATACAGGGACAGATGGCTTCTCAGATCAAGTCAATAGGTGCCTTTAATCCCATATTATTTCTTCTACTCGCTGCTAAAGATATACTTGATATACATATGTGTGTGATATAACTGTGTCTGAAGGCATACTCTAGGTGGTAGGAATTTGCATGGTGCTAGCAGTGTGATCCTTAACGAGGCTAGTGTCTTTTCTCCTCTCTCGTTTATCTCTTTTTCTCCCCTTTCTGCTCTTTTTTTTTCTTTTTTCTCTTCTGATCACTTGGAAAGTATCATCTAGGTAGTGGTCACTGGTGTCGCCTCCCACTTTCTCTCTGTCCAGAGGCATTTATTTAGTGAGTGCACAAAAGCATTTGTTTAGGATTTGAAACCTACAGTCGGGTGCAAAACAGTTTGGTTCCAGAAGAATGTGTTAGCTTGTCAAGGAAAGCATTGCTTGTGGAATAAGGTGTTACTTCACCTGTTGAATCCTGCTACTATAGGAGTTTGTGGGGTAGGGGAGAAGTTACGTTTCCTCATGTGGGACATCTAGAAAAGCAGGTAGAACAGTTATAGCCACATACATTGCTACAGGGGGAGGCACAGGGCATGACTCAGCCTGTCCTTGCCTGTTCTGAGCGCTGCACTTCTAAGGCCAACACAGAGGTACTCGTACATCCCCAAGTGCCATCCCAGCAGGGGCTCAGCAGCGTGGGAGCGTTCCTGCCGCGTGCCTGGGCGCTGGCTGGGCTGCAGACCCGGCTGCGTGCGTGCTCTTGGCCAGTGGCAAACGCGAGCTAAAGGGCGTTAGCTCAGCCGCCTTTCAAGTTAGCTTACAAGTGGCATTTGCCAGGTGGGTTAAGGTGCAGGTTCCTGCTGGCCAGCCCCTGCCCCGCTGCATGCCCCAGGGAGAGCAGTGCCTGACTCTCCGGGGCTGCAGCTGCTCTGCATGAGGCACTGCGCGCTCAGGACAGCAGCGCTTCCACCGAGCGTAAGCCAGGGCCTCTCGGAAAGCGTTCCTCACAGCCGAGCACAATGTTAACCACCATGATGCTAAGACAAGAATTTTAAACAGGAGCAACTAGTGGCGTTTAGCTAATCTCTGTTGTGCTGCTTATCTACCATATGGATGTGCAAAACCCTCTTCGCCACCCAAAATGTTTGTGGATTTTTCACTTGCCTCTCTACTTCCTCAGGGAAGGGGCTTTTCCAGCTACTTCCTTCAGCTTCTTTAAAACCCAGTTGCTGTTTTAATCTCACCTACATCAGCCATCTTTGCAGTGTTCCTGGGTTGTGGATATGAGTTAATTTCAGTTGGTTTATACTGAACCTCTTTAGGTTTATTTCCCCACACCATCTGCTTCTCCAGTTAAGACAGCAAAGAAACAAGTTCTCAGAAATGATCTTGCACTGTGGTCCGCATATGCCTGCCTGAAAAGAGAAGAGAAAGCCTTGCTCTTCCTGCCTTTGTTTCCCATGGGAGAATGCAGGCAGCAATTCAGTTGTCTTATAACACTCATCTTGGAAAACAGAGGAGGAAATTGATATTAGGTCCACTCAGATTATGAAATAGGACTTCAGTTTTGTAAGGTCTTTGCAAGAGTTATGGTGTCTTCTTAGGCGGCTGCTTCCTTGTGTGTCGCCAAAGGCTGTTTTGTCCTGAAGAGTCACAAAAGGTAGTGTTTTATCACAAAAAGTAGTGTTTTACAATGCAAGGATGGGCAAAACCCAGCACAGAGAGCACTGTAGCCGGCAACCACTGGCAATTCTGATCTTCTGGCCTTTAGCATCTGCTGAAGACCTCAATGTTTAAAGTTGTGTTCCTAAACTAGGTTATCTTGTGACGCAGGGACTTTTTTCTTCCCCTTTTTCCCCCTCAGGCTCTGAAGCCTTAGCCACACTTTGACAAAGCAGCGTGACAGTAAACGCAGCGTTGCTTAGCCGTCCGCATAGGTGGTTCTGCTGTTAGGCAACCCAGGGCAAAGGGGTGGCTGGTGCGCCGCGCGCCGGTGGATGTCCTAGTGCACTAGACCAAATCCTGCAAATGTAGTGGTGGTCTAGAATCGGTCCACATCAGGAGAGGAAACATGCTTGGGCAAGTGTACTTGCTTTCTGCAAGCATCTCTCAAATTTTATTTTTTCACTATTTAACCTTTTCCTGAGCTACTTTGTTATCTGACCTGCCCTCCCACACGCTGAGTAAACTTGTCCTAGGCTTTCACTTCAGAGCAGCCTTGAACGTGCTGCTCAGCTTGAAATCAGCTGAGGACCAGTGAAATTGGTCTGTTCAGTGTTTACAAAGAGCACAAATGATAATGATGCTGATAATGTTATTTAAATGCCTTTGCAGTTTTTGAAGGCTTGTTGATTTTCTTTAGATGCTTTGCCCCTTTTCTAAAAATGCCTGCAGTGACTTTGGGAAGCTGCTTTTTCAGAGAACAAAAAATGAGTATTTTTTAAAATGGAATTCCTACACTTGGCCTTTGAACCACTTAGTCAGATGCAGACAGTGGAATCTGGCACCAAGGATAATCTTGTCCTGATATGGATATGGGGGGAATGGCAATGAGGGAGGAATGCAGCGATGGCTTAATACTTAACTATTTCAGGACTGATACAAACTACAGTGAAGTACAGAGGAATCTTTTCTGGTTACTCAGATGGATAAAGTCTCTAACAAATGGAATGAATTTCTCAATAAGACTGTGTATCTCTGCTACCATTGGGATCTGGGTGATAAGCGTTAAAAGCATAAACGTGAAGACAAAGCATAATACTAGATATTAGCAGGGCAAGAAAAAAACCCCTTATCTGTATTTATTAAAAGATAGTTCAGCAGTTTTCCTTCTTAGCCCTTAGTGGAGCTGAAAAGATTGGAATTAGGAGGCTTTTCTCCTAACAGCTATTAAAATTTTGAAGATTGGATTAAAACTTGATTATTTCAGGTCCCCTTTTCAATGACAGGAAAGCCCTTAATGCAGTTGAAGCTGTTGAAAAAAGGGAAATGCTAAAAGCAAAGACTGTGGTTTTGGTTATTCATTGGTATCATTATAGTAGCATCATTTTACAGTAGCATTTAATTTGTCTTCACTGTTCTGGCACCTATTAAAATGTATTTGTCTTAATATTTAAGCAATTAAGACAGGCACTTTGTACCTATTTGTACTCTGGAGCTAAACCATAAGATCTAGGAGTCTTACAAATCACACCCTCCATCAATCTTCCAGCTAGTTTCACCCCCAGATCTGATACACGAGCTTCTGCAGACTACTCATTTTAGCTGTGTTTCCCTGAAACTCAGTTGGCACTGGGCTCCTCCTAAACAGCTGCTCATAGAAAAGCAGGCAGGTTACTTTTCAGAAAATCTTCCTGGAAAGATATATAATATGATGCTTGATTTAGGTCAAAGGTAATGAGCCTTGTAACTGCCTGAGAAATGCAAGATTGGACTTCAGAGCAGTTACATGCTAGCACCATCTCTCCCCTCTTATGCACATGGTACTGGAGAGGGTGGGCCAGTCCATGAGGGCCTTTTCTGAAACAATTCACACTGCAGAATTTGAGTCTGCAGAGTTTTAGGCAACACATCCCGAACACTGTGGCTATCCAGCTAAAAGGGTGAAGTGTACCTCTCTGCTGTCCCTTCTTTTTAGCCTGGCATATATCAAAGTCTTCCCTGGAGGAAAACAGGACGTATGCTTGTTTACCAAGTCTGACTGACCTCTGGACTACCCTTCCTTTTAGCTATTTTCTGCTAGTTCTGTGTGAGATCTCATCACCTGTAGGGTTTCTTTGGAAGTGGAATTTAACAACTTCCAGTTGTAACTATTCAGTCAAAAAAATATTTGTCCTTTGTTGTTGTTGTTTAACAAATGGGAAGCTTGGTCATGATTATTGTGTGGAATGGAATTGCATAAGAATGCAGTATTTGTTGTAAGGCAGAACACTGCATCATTAATATTAAGAACAATTACTAGTAATATGAAGCTGCACTCCGCGTTCTGTTTTGGTTTTGTAACACTAGAGCAGTCATTATTCTGTAATTACAAATAATCTAACATATGTACACACCATCTCTTATACTCCCAAATACAACAATTAGCAAGTAAATGAAAAAAAGTCCTACTGTTTTCCCAAAGGACTAAAGAGCTGAAATCACTCTTATGCAGTTATGAAATGTTCCCCCCCCACATCCATGCATCTATGAAGGATTTAGCTCATGAACTCTGAGAATATGGTAGTGTTGATGTATTGGCTCACGCAGAGCTTAAAAAATTCTCCAAGAAAAAGAAGCCAAGTTTATATTTAACAGGCTTTATCAAACCATTGAAGTTAAGTGAAAAGCACACTGATAGGCTATATAAAGTACACAGAAACAGCTTGGAAAGCTTGCAAAAAATAGTTGTGCCAAATACTTTCTCCCACGATCGCCACTCAACACATTGGTGGTTGTAGCAAAAAGTAAATGTACACATGGATCATATTTAGAACCCTGCATCTCTTACGGTAACTCTCGTTTTGTATTGAGTGCACATTCCTCTAATTAGGTCTGAGCACTGAAGTGACTGGCTTACAGCTCTGCAACACGTTCTTCTAGAAGTTCATAACAACGGTGTTTTGAGAGGACTTTAGAGAATAGTTTTGAAGGAACATGTTTTTGTAGAGCTTTAATTATAGACAAATATATCAACTTTAAATTGGAGAATGCTTGTATGTGTGTACAGCTGTAACTCAGATTTGTATGAAATAGCAATGCGTTAGAAATGGTATTTTAGCAAGTAAGCTGAAGTAGTTTGGAAAACAAATTCCTAATATTTCCTGCAGTATTTTCCATAAACAAGATCTATGGGGGACTGGGAAGAGGATCCACAGGGCAAGCACATAGCTTGAGACTGTGACCCCTGAGTAGCCTACAAATATTAGAGCGCGGCAGTGGGTTTCCTCAATGCTCTCTGCCATTGCCTTCTTTTAGAGCCCTGTAACTACCTATCTGTGGTCTGAGCCTCTGCTCCCTAAGAAAAACTTGGGGCGCAGGGGAAGAACAGGAAGATATGGAGGTGCAGAGTGTTAAGTTCAGCGTTAACCTAGATGAGAAGAGGATGTGGGCATCCCATCGCTGGTGGGCGCGTGGCGGCCCGGGGTGATGGCACTGTGAGGTTCCTCGCGGGCTGGAGCCCTCCTGCAGCGCAGGGAGAGGGCAGCTGGCTTTTCTGTCTGCTCCTGTGGGCTGGCCGCTTTCCGTCCCTCCCTGTGCTGTGTGGATGTGGCACATGTAAAGGCACCTCAAGAAGAGGCGGCGTGTCCATTCCGGACTAGCAGCTACAGCACCTGCGTGTGCTGTGCTCAGCAGGTCGGAAGCAAAAATAGTGTAGAAAACAAAGAGTATCTTTTTTTTTTTTTCCTTAGCGCAGCCTGAGAAGAGGAAAGGCTTCTTTTTAAAGTGATAAAAAAAGTGATAAAGTGATAGTCCCTGGGGGTGCAGCAAAGATGTCTCACGTGTGGGGGCTGCTGCATTCCCCAGGGAGCAGGAGCCTGCAGCGTGCTTGTAACGCGAGGCGAAACTCCACTGTGAGGCCTTATCTAAGGTGAAACTGCAATCAGAGCACTGTCCTGCCAGAAATTCCGGTAAATAACTTAGAGGATGCTGGTAGTTTAGCACGCTTTGTGAGTAAATACTCCTGCAAACTTTGCTATCCCAGGTGGCTGGCCACAGGAAGCCCCAGAAATTGAATTCCCAGTTTTTAACATCCCTGAGCAAACACGCTGCAGTGTGGATGGTGCTGCTAGCTGCTGTGTGCCGCAGCGGCGGTGGTCCAGGCACGCAGAGGCAGTTCACACACACACCCCCCCACACACACACACCCCCCCCTACTCCATAAGCTGCTGCTCACGGTCACCCAGGACAGCGATGCCGGGTGTGGGCCCTGTTACACGTTGGAACCGCGCGTACGGCCGCCAGCGCCTCTGCGGTGGGAGCTGTGCGACGGGCTCATGCGGCCGTCCCGCCTGCGGATCCCAGCAAGCTCTTAGGAAGGACCACAGCATACTGCTGGGGGGATTCAGGGCCAACGATGGTCGGGTTTTAGAGCATTGCTGCTTTGATTTTCCTGTTCTTCTTTTGCTGCCTGAGGTAAATTTTTTTTTTTTGGTTTTTTTTTTTTTTGTTTTTTTCTTTCTATAATTGAATATAGTATTTGTGCATAAACGTGCTGCAGGGTGATTGTTGGCCTAGGTGGTGTGGACTATGCACATTTGTAAGGTTTCTTTCACGTTAAATCTCAAAATTCTAATCACAGAAGCAAAAAAACAGACTAAACAAAGCAGCAAAAATATTATTGCAAACAACGTATCCTTAAAAATTAAGAGGCCTTTACTACCCAAGCCACTCTAAAGTCTTAGAGGCTATTTGAGCATGAATATCTTAGGCTGCAAATAGACATAATCCAAAATCTACAAAGGATTTTTAAAAAGGAAAAAAAAAGGAGATGTAATGATCCCCAAAATGACTGTGAAATTAAGGAGTTAATATGTTTCCTACAAGCTTCAAGCTTTTTACTTATTTACTTTTACTATACAAAGTTTCCATCCAAAATCTGTAGCCTGTAATACTACTTCTAAAATATATTTGCATTTGGACAACCTTTTATGAGGCTGCTTATTCTGTCTTAATTCCAAAAAGCAGGAAGCTACTTCATTTTTACTTTTTGTTTTCCTCTGTCTTCTGGGTTTAGAGGAGCTCTTGCAGCAGTGCTACTTATGTGCTGTCCGAGTGCAAAAGGAGTTCCTTCTTACCTTTGATTTGATTTCCTGAAAACAGTCCTTTATTTCAGTTTAGAATTGTAAATCACCTCAATTCTTCTTGTTCTCACTTGCCTAAGAAGCCTATAGAGACATTAAGATATTTACTGCAGCACTGCAAATGGAAAACGTGTCAAGCTTGTAACAGTTTAGGCCCTTACAAATACCGCAGGTGTCAGGGCTGTCCATAACAGCCGAGGCCATGCCTGAAATGCATTACTGCTGTTATTAATTATGCACTAGACCTGCCTCTAAAAGAGGAATTTCCAGGACAGCTCTATCCAGTGCAACCTGTCTGTCTCTAGCTGACAGCTGTCTGTCACGCATGACATTGGGGTGTTGTTTCTGGGGACTTACACAGACTGGCACAGCATCTTCAGAAGGAGGTGGGAGTCTTTGTAGCCACCTGAGTTTGGCAGCCATTGTTCCCACAAAGACCTCTTGGATTTCGGGTTGTCCTGGCTGCTGAATGTCTAATAACCTCCGGGCCTGTTAATCACTGAGTGTTCCTTCCCCTTTGCAGCTGCAGCACAGACTGTGTTGGAAAGCGAAAAACGTAATTACAGTTGAATTCCACGTTTCCCTAGAGCTCCTCCTTCTCAGCTGTCAGTCTGATCCTGATAATTGTGTAGGGAGCCCTAATGCTTTGCAGATAGATGGCTGTCCCTACCTTCCGCTGTGTTTTGAAGGGTAGGTGTGTGTGAGGCCTCCTCTTGCGATTGTCCTGTAAGCATCTGGGGCAGGTGAGTGGGTTGGAAAGTTTCCCCAAGTGCTTTAATGTGGCTTTATTGTATTGCAAAGCTACTCTCTTTAAAAGTGTATTGAGGGGAATATTGAGCTTCAAGGTTAAAGCTTTTTTTACTTCTTGTGTTTTTTTTTTGTTTGGTTTGTATTTTTTTTTTTCCCCATCCTAGTTAAAAAGGAGCTTTCATTTGAATAGCCTTTAGCAGATTTGGAATCAGCTTTTACGGTGCTCAGATAAATGTTACAACATAAATCATAAATGGCACAGGCATAAAGTTTATGAATCTTCATGTCAAATATAATTAAATATATTGAAGTCTCCAAGAAAAGCACGATGCCCAGAGCTGCTCTGCTGTTTTTTATTAAAGATAAGAAAGTAGGTCACTAACTACCTTTATCTCATTCATTTCTGAAAAACTACTTTTCTTACAGTTCCCCGCCAGCCTGGAGTGAGCAATAATCTGTTTGAAATACTTGAAATTGAAAGAGGGATTACCGCCGATGAATTTGAAGCAAATGATGACCCAGGTAAAGATCACGTCTCATGTTCAGGGCCTAGGGTTTAGGATTTTTTTGAGATTTCTTGGGGTTTTGTACATTTTTACAGGACTCCTACGTTTTACGCCCCTTGTTTAAACTCTGCTTTGTAAAAATAAAAAAAGTCACCATCTAAGTGAACCTCTATAGTTTTATTTCCTAACAGATTTAGTACAAAAATAGTGTGAATTGATGATAACACTAGCATCCTTTTCAATGTTTTAGTCTTTTTGTAGATTCTTTTTCCAGTGCTCCTTCTGTTGCACTTAATTTTTATATTTACTTGCTAGTGTCAGCCACAAGGGAGATGGCTGTAATTCCCCACTGAAAACAATCCAAGTCATGGGTGTTTTCTGACCTTCTGCTCTGTTCTGCCTAGGCGTGCTGGTACACAGCTGTGATTTTGATAGTGGACTGTGCGGATGGATGAAGGGCAAAGATGACGACTTGCACTGGGAACCGGTGAAAGATGCTTCAGGTAAGGCACCTGTGTGCGATCACGTCCTGTAGTTGAAGAACCACCCAGGCTCGAGGCTGTCGGCAGTTCTCGCATTAGGATGGATTACAGAGCTGCTGCTCCCTTTTAGTCCTGGGATATACTTCACACCCACACGTCTTCTGTGTATAAAAATCAAAACTGAGGATTCCCAACATGAAAGAGCAATTGAGAAATTGCACTTTTATCACAGTTGGTATCTTTACAATAGGAATGTCTCTGAAGGAGTAGTAAATGTGTATTCAGTAAAAGATTATCTGTCTTAAAAGAATCAGAAAGAACAAAACTGTGGGCTAGAGAATAACTCTTACTTATGGTGAAGCAAAGCTTATTTTTCAAACCACCACACAAACATAATTATTTCTGTATTACTAGCAAAATTATAGAAAGTGCTGGAAATAGTCTTTGTTCTGCTGCCAAATATAATGTTCCAGTTGAACCTCTCGGTTTGCTTTTATTGAATTCTACCCTAAGTCACAGCAACCTGGGAAGGAACTGGAAGGAAGACAGGTTAGGTGCTCAGGAGCAGAGACTTCTGAAAGTGGGTGCGTTTGGGCTGGTAAAAAGTGACCTTCAGTGGTTCCATGACAGGGGAGTGGGCACTAGCCCCTTGCAGGGCAGCACCCCCTCCCCATCCGCGCTGCTGGGACTCAGCTGGGTGTGGTTTGGCCCCTAAACACTGAGGGGAAGTGCTTCACTTACTGGGCAGCCCCCCTCCCCACCCCCAGGCATGCTCTATATTTCGTATGCTCCTTATAACACTTAAAAATGTCAAATGAACGGGCTCCGAGAGCAGAGCTCCTTCTTCCTGCAGATGAGAAAACAGGGAGCCGTCTCCTGCTTGCAGCCAGACATTTTAAAAAAGATCACATGTAATTCATAACACATCATCTTGAGACAATAGATTCAAAAATGCTTTGCTTTTGAGATAATCACTGAAAGCATGGTTGTTATCTGTATTCAAAAATTGTTAAAAAAATCATGGTTCTGGAACTTAATATGTATGAACTGGCCTCTTTTTTTTTTTTTTTTTTTTTTTTTTATTTTTAGACTTTTTTTTTTCTCCTGGGTTGCTTCCCAGTCAGGGCAATCCCAGTTTTTTGTTTCCTGTGTATGTTCTGCTGCTGTTGACATAACCTGTTAAAACTAGTCCCTTGAAGTCACCCACCCACTCCCTCCTGTCTGGAATACCTTGTTGCAAGGATTTATTTTCACAGCTTGTTCCTGAGTGTTTGCTTTCACCTTTCAGAGTCTGCTATTTATTAGTTTATCAGAATCTGCATTTTGAAAGGTGCCACGCTGGAGCCCTATAAGCTTATCCTGCATGCAGAAAATGCTGATTTGAGGGACCTTTTCCTGCAGGGGCTTGCCTGCAGATATGCTGGCTTTGTGCTTACCTAAATCTGTTTCCTATTGATTGATTTCAGTCAGTGTAACTATCTATCTGAAACAGATGCAGTTAATGAGTTGAGTCGGTACTTTTATAGTGATATAATTGTATCTACACCGAGCAGGTGCAGTTATTTAAACTCTATTATGCTTATTGTAGCAGTTAGTGACCTCGATGCAAAAATGATGCCTTAAAACAAAACAAAACAAACTTGAGCAGATCCTTGGAGAAATGGATCCCACTTCATGCCCAAATGCTGATCTGGGGCCCCAACCAGCAGCATACTACTTGGCTTTGTTAAACCTTGTTGAGGCCAAAGAACTTAAAACCCTACCTAGAAGTAGTGAATTGGCGACAAGGTTGGCTTTCCTTTCAAGTGTGTGACAAGCACCAGTACATTGTCATTAAACCTCACAGCTTTTGAGGGAAATCGTTGTGGCTTTCAAAAAGGAGCTTTCCCAAAAATAAAGCTCTCATTGAATAGTAGCAAGGCAACAATTCAAATGAAAAGGATTTTTATAGCCTATAAATAAGTAAAGTCTGTGTATGACCAACAATATTACAAACCCCCAATATTTCTAGATTATCAGGTTCAACTAAGGAGCCTGAATGCCACCTTTACCTGAAGTTCATTAAACTTGGATTTTTTGATTAAAAAAAAAATTAAAATCTGATCTCATTAAAAAAAAAAAAAAAGATTGTTAGGTTCAGAATAAGGTAAGATTTTTTTTTCTAATTTATTTTTATTTTTTAAAAGTGAACCCTCCTCCCTTTGGTAATTTCAAATTTTAAAGTTGTCATCCACCTTGCAAAAGTACAAAGAAAAAGCACAGGTGTGGGTTTTCTCCAAGATGTGAAGTCTTATTTACTGTAGTTTTGAGTGCCTGGGTGAAAGGGTATGTGGAACTTACAGAAGTGTAGGCCTTTTTCTTTTCTTTTTTTTTTTTTTTTTTTCCCGATTTAATGGATGTTGCCATACCCGAGAGCCTCTACTTTTCATGTTCTATGTGTTTTTGTGAAGGCACCTTTACTTTGTACATGATCAGAGATAATAGTGGAGTTTTCAGTTAAGTATGTACGTTCACTGACAACTTACTACTGTTAGAAAAGACTTGGGGAGTGTATCAAGTTAACAGCCATTTGGAAATCAATACTGTTTCTATCTTTCTGGATCTAATTCAAATTAAGAGTTTAAATTATGGTTAAATAAAAAGGCTATCCTTGAGACAGAAAGGAAAGGACAGAACTGTACCACGATTACATGGTAACATTTATGCTGGCCTCCTTGTTCCTGTATCCAATAGCAAAGAACTGCAGCTTACAAGGTGTGTAAATGTACACAGTAGCTTTAATGTCACTGTGGGTTTAAAACACAGTTCATGGAGTTGCCAGAAAAAAACATGAAATTCTCATTTTCAAAAGAGGTATTATTTGCTTTGTAAAAAAGAAATTAGATGGGCAAGACCTAACCTGGTACTAATGCAAGGAGACCACCAGCTCTGCAAATCTTACCCTGCAGGAGGCCGATGCATCAGTCCTGGTTCACATTCCAGCAACTCTGCCTTATTTAAGACTCGCTGGACCTTGTGAAGCCCTTTTTTATTTTTTGAGTTTGTAATGACTCTTGTGCATGTGGTCCTGCAACACAGTAGAATTTTAAAAACCCCCACACACTAACTGCTTTTTCTTTTGCAGGGGGCCAGTATCTTACCATCTCTGACCCCAAAGGCAAAGAAGGCAGAGTAGCTCATCTCATCCTGCCCTTGGATCAGAGGGCTCAGGCCGGCGACTTGTGCCTGTCCTTCAGGCATAAGGTGCCTGGGCTGCATTCTGGTGCCCTCCACGTCTTTGTGAGGAAGAACGGGGCTCATGGACCAGCCCTCTGGGGAAGAAACGGTGGCCATGGCTGGAGACAGACACACCTAACTTTACGAGGACTCGGCATCAAGAGTGTAAGTACCGACGCGTGCGCTGCCTTTTGGGTTTTCGCAGGAGACGCTGAAGACACTTAGGGGCTGTAGCACTGGGCTGTTTGTCCTCTGGGTCCAATTTCAGCCTGTGTTTTACTACTTTGATCCCTCCTCATGGAATCATATTAAAGGTAAGAGAGTCATTGTGCATTTTTTCAAAGTAGTTTTATGACAAAAAAAGCCCGCCTACAGCAGTAGATGCATAGGAAACAGCAGAGCCTGTACTGAGCTACCTCATACAACCTGTTTTAGGGGAATCACTATATAGGAAAGAGCAGTCTAATGGACGATGGCATACTGCACGTGGATTGCCAAAAACTCTGTCAAGATTTCTCATAAACAATGCTTTAAATAATACAGTGCCATGACATAAGAGTCCTTCCCTGTGGACTAGTGCCTGGCTAAACCAGGGCAAAGATACTGAAAATAAGTCATTTTTGAGAATGCAGGGAGGTTACATGTGCAATCTCACATGCTTTTACGTTCTTCAGCATACCTGCAGCAGATCTGGCCAAGGAGGTGAAGGATGAACTAACTATGCCAATAACACAAAATGGTTTAGCGCAATCAAAGGAAGCTGTCTGAGAATCTTTTAATACCTGGAAATCTTAGAAACAGTGGGTGATAAACTGATATCAAAAGCTCAGCATTTTCCTTCAACCTTGGCTTAGCTTTGAAGGTTGTTTCTACTTCAGCTCTGAAGAAGGGGCTTGGGTGCTTCAGGGCCTGTTTTGCTCTGACAGATATCAGGTGGTCTAAAAAGCTTACGCATCCTAATGTTCATGGTGGGAGCAGGCTACAACACACACACAATATATAGTTCTCAAATTGATATTAAGGCTGTAATTATCACAGATCATTTTCTGAAAACTTTACCTCAGCAATAGTAACAAAGACTCCTGGCTTCCTGTTAGACATGGAAATGACTGTCAGACCGAGAATGTGGAAATTTATAACAGGTGAACAATACATTTGCCACGTTCTTACCCTTTTTTGCTAAGTTTAACACTCTTTCCAGTTCAGTGATAACAGCAGATTCTTACAAAGTTTTGCGGTAGGTTTCGAATAACTTTTTGGCCATGGTCAAAACCACTGACTGCATTATGTTCAGGCTTCTGAATCTACAGCAGTAGCACAGGTGAGCGATACTATTTATGGGAAGTGTTTCTTAAAGGCAGCTCCTCTGATTTCTGCTCCAGTCCTTCTAGGCAAGCTTTATATTTGTCAGATTTCTCCTACTCAGGTTAAATCTGGACTGCTAATGATCTGCATAAATGCATGCCCAAACTCTGGCAGCCAGTTTGTGAGGAACCAGTGCTTCTGCAGATTACACCAGGTGACTGCAGGAGCCAGAATTTGTTAAATAAAAGATAGGTGTTTCTAGTTCCCACAACTAAGGCAGCTTCAAGGTGATTTAGCAAAGTCAAGCTCCATTATTAGACAACATTTTTCAGAACCCAGAGGATTTTATATGTTTGCCATGAGGGACAATGAAAACAGTGCAGAGGTGATATGTAGAAAGTGCCCAAGATTCTCTTACGTGGAAGTTCATCTCACCTCAGCAGATGGTGCAACTGGAGCAACTCTGTCCTGAACTGCTCATTCTTCACAAAGATCCTGCCAAAGTGAAGGAGGAAGAGGAACAGAAATAGAAAAACCAGCCATAATTCTGAGCAGAATAAATAGGCTTTTGAGCCAGTTACGATTGCCTGAGCTTTCTTATGCTTTTGCTTTCTTACTGTTGAGACCGCTGTCAACCAAAGCTTCTTTCATTTTACTTTTTTGCACTCAAATTGTTCCGTTTCTCTTCCCAGGTTATTTTCAAAGGGGAGAAAGGAAAAGGAAGAACTGGGGATATTGGCCTAGATGATGTGATCTTGAGGAGAGGACGCTGCTCTGAAGAGCATTAGCAAAAACAATGGACCAGCACAGTCATCTCCTCTAGCCCTTCTCATGCCATTCCTACCAAGCTTTGAACCAGAACTGCATGAAAAAGAGGAAAAAGTGGGAGAGTGACACCTTCTCAGTGGTTTGCTAAGTGCAATCTCACTGAAACTTCACTTGAAAACACGGAGAGCACCTCCTTGGATTCAGGAACTCCAATCCCATGCTGGTTGTTTCTATTAATCCTTACCCCTAAATCGTATTTTTTTATGTAGTAACTTGATCCCCTGTTAAGCCTGGTGAGTTCTTTCTCAAAGAACATTTGTGAAAAAGGGAGAATTTAGTACAAATGATGGCAAAAGAAAGCTCCAGCTCAGAAAGTTTTAGCGTTAACTGATAGTCATTATCTTCCCATAGTGCTACTCATTCATTGATTAGATTTGAGAGACAGTGGGATGGATCTAGCTTCAGAGTCACCTCAGATGAGCAGAAGCCTGGACCTGAGCTGTGACTTACTGCCACTGACCTCTGAAGGAGGGTTTGCTTCATATTAAATAGCATTTATTTTGGTCTTGCATCTGTATTAAGAAAAAGCAGTTATAGAGAGTAGGCACTGCTTCCTGTAATATTGCTTCTGCTGAGTTTTGTGTATATGTGTATGGTTATTAACGTATTTATGGTTTTAATATTTACAGACTCTAGTCGCAAGGTAATTTGGCATCTGTGCTTTCTTATGGTACAAGACAGGAGTCCAGTATCTTCTTTGATCCCGCTGGTTGTGCCAGTAGATGTGTTACCAAAGTCAGTTAATGGTGCTCATTGGAAAATGCTGGTGCAGTTTTTCATGTTGTAATACGCTGAAGGCAAAAGACCAAACCCTTACCTGATGTAAACTGGCATCTGATACCGCTGTCCAAGTTTGCGTTTAGCTCAGGAGCAAGCCCTAAAGGGCTCTCAATCCTGCAAGAAACTCCTGGTTCAGCTGAAGACTGAGCAGCCTGGAGAAGAAAACTTGTGTCTTGTAAGACTGAGCCCATCGACACCTCCGGGGCCGCTCCCTTCCCACGGCTGTAGGAGCCTACGTGCGAGCAAAAGGGCAGCTGCATTAACACTGTATGAACAGTTCAGACCATGAAATGCCTTGAGTGATCTTTGTCAAATGTCCGTATTCCATCCAACCCTTCTGTACATAATAAACATTTTATTCTTTAGAACTAGAACAACTCTTAGCCCTAGTTGAAACTAAATATTTATCAGAACTTTGGACTAATTTTTTAGTTATGTATCATGCATGTGGTGTGCAGTTTCCCAGGGAATTCTTCTGTTTAGTTTGGGATTCTTTTAAATGAGGAACATTATTCAATGCTGCTACCAATCTCTACATCTGACAAAGTAATTGTAACATTTAAGAAAATGACAAAAGATTGATAAAATGTTGTTAGGGGCACAGCCTTAAAGCTTCAAAAATGTGTATATAGAAGAAATATGTCTCAGATCTTTTAAATACAATGTAAAATAGATGTCAGCTTCATATCATGTTATAAAACCATACTTAAAAAAAATTGCGCTAAGCCTTGCATGAAGTCCTCAGAGACAAAACTGCAAGACCATTAGAGGACATCTTCCAAACCCCTGTTTGTTTGACCAAACAGATGGTCTCTTGCAAAAACTGTATCAACAAACATTTTGAAAAGGAAAAAATAATGCATTTGTAAACATTTTTAAACTATTTTGCTTCAAATATGATCATGATCTTTTTATCTTACATTACTTTGTAATATGTCAGAAATATTTGTGAATAGCTGAAATACCTTGTCCTTATTTTAAAGTAATCAGTAAAGGAGGCTGTTACTTGCTACTATTTGGAATTTTTTTTTTTAATTTCTGGATTGAAAGTTGCATTTTTATTGCGGTGAAATGAACCAAAAGATGACAACCAAAGTGAAGTAGCTCTTGTTATCAGATTTAAAAATAAAAGTACATTTCAGTATAATACAACAAGAGCATTATATGTATTTTTCAAAAGTTAAAGTGACCATTTTTGACCCAGCTTTTTTTAAGAACAGTTTCACATGTGATTTAAGAGCTTCCCTAATATGAAATGTCCATTCTACCAGCAGCAGTGGCTGCCGTAGTTCCACACGCTACTCAGCCTGCACAAACTGTTATTTTCTTTAGCATCTAACAGGATAAACACGTTTTGGGCTGGTTCATCGACAGGAGATGAAGATGGTTTTTACCAGCTATTACCACAGCGCTCTGAGATGGAGACTGCCTGGTTGAAATCTGTCTCCTATCTATGCAAGACTGAAAGAATTTTTTGTCCTTTTACAAATGGCCCTTAGAACCCAGCATCTGACTGAATTCAGAAGGGAAGCAGAAATAAGTTCTCAGGTGACATGAGGAGATTTCGGGCTCTCTGTGCTTTATGGCTGCATTTCCTTGCTGCGGTCAGACCAAGAAGCACCGTAAGGCCCTGTTAACAGCTGAAGTGTCCCAGCTGGCACCCGGCACGGGCTCCCCTCTGCGAGCCTGTTCCTGAAGGAGCTGCTGTGGCTGGGAGTCACTCACGGCTGCAGCTGGCCGTGCCGCGAGGCTGGAGGTGTCACCCTCCCTCGGGGTTTCTGAAGGGACGAGGCTTGGCCGCTCTCTGGTTCTGTCGTGATGATCCTCCCCCAGCTCCCACCCTTTGAGGCAGCTCCATCCGGCCACACACAGCAGGTTCTGCCCTCTCCACAGGAGCCTCGAGAAAGATGAGAATAGGGCCTGAGGTCTTCCTGGGAAGTAGGCTGTAACTGCCCTTCCTGCCGAGGGTTGAACAAACAGGTAACCCTGCCAAAAGAAATTCTTGCTTAAATACTTAGGCCAGCAGAAGAAATTGCACTAAACTAACATGAAAGCATTTATCAAATGTACTGCCTAACCTCTTCCCAGCTTATAATTTAAGGTTTTTAAAAGACACGTTAAAGTTTTCTCCTCAAAAAAGACTGAAAATAAAGATTCTTCCTAAATTCCAGGTACTGTGACCAGCAGCAGTGTGCATTTACTGCATTCGCTGACATCAAAGGAGTACAATGGAAGGGACTGATACAAGGTTTTGTTTCCAGCTTCCATTCTAAACAGTCACCTCACCTCTCACAAGAGCCATGTCATTAAGTCACTAAGTGCTTTCAATAAACCCCTTCATTCTGGAGAAAAGCTTCCCCAGCTTCCCTTCAATAAATTAGCCTGGATTTGGAGGTTAAAACATGGGTTTTAATATAGTTGGAGATGACAATAACCACCCTCATAAGAGTCAGATTAGTCATGAGAAGACAATCCTGAGCTGAAGGATGCTCACAACAGCAGCCTCCAGCATCCTGCTCTGTCCTCGTGGAGAAGAGGCAAGAGCAGCAGCTGGCTCCAAGGGCCAGGTGTCTCTTTACACCCTACTGCCCCTTGTTCCTCCCACCAATGAGGCCCAGTGATAGGCTCAGGGACTGCTAAAATCAGAGACTTTGGATCAAGCTGTGCACCTGTCTGCTCTGCATTTAAAGATATACAAGATAAACTATAGCTGCCTGCCTTTAAAATTTTAATTGTGAATGTTAGAAAGACAAAGTCATTAATTATCAACTGAGGCGCAGTTAAATCCTATGCAATTTTTATTTATATAGAACTATATCTCAAACACCCAAATTATCAGTTTTCCTGGTAGCTGAAACGCTTTCTTACCTGCTGTTCTATCCGGACGGCCTGTAGTGACACAAGGTTTTATGACTTCCGATTTTCCACAGCAATAATAAAAAGAAAGACGTGTGACGCACTGGTGTAAGCCTGCAACTTTAGAAAGGAGTAAGAGACATTTTAGTTCTAAGTTCCAGTAGCGGTCTGAAAGAACACAGAAATCTCCTCAAGCTTTGAAAGTTAATGCGTTCTCAGAGCACACCTACTGCATCAGGCGGACCTGGTGGTAAGTGGGGACACGCGTTTCGAATGTCCGTAATGCTGTATTTGGTTGAGAGGAAGATGCCAACGGACTGAAGACCTTCAGGGACCACAGAGTCAACTTTACTAGTACAGACTGAAGCACCTATAGAGTTCAGACACCAGCTCCATGTAGGCTTTCAGGATTACAGGTCCAAAATGAATCAAATCGCATTGTAGCTGCTCTACTCAACCACTTTCCCAGCCCAAGCCCTGTTCCTTCACTTTGAAACAAACTGTCCTGTAGACAGTGCTCCCGCTGGTTGCTTTGGGCTGAGATTTTCTGAAAAACAAATGGTTTCTTTTTTATTTATCTCCTCTTAAACTTCACAAACAGCCTGGGTAACATTACTGGCATCGGGATGGAAGTTTCTTTTCACAGCAAATAACCCAATTACTGGATCTGAGTGTTCACCGGACTGTTCATGTCAGGTTGCCTTTTTTCTCCTAAGAAATCTCCAATTTAACTCCCAAGAGCCAGATGGGATATCATGCCTGATACATGTAAAAAGTACAGACCTATCCCTCATTTTCTTAATAACATGTCAAACAACAAGATGAAGTGGACCTGAACTTTCTGGACAAAGACAGAAATAATGCCCTGCTCCATAGATCAGGCACTCCCTATCATATTTCCTCAGATTGCTTCCCAATAGCTGTTAAGAATCAACCAATTCTTTCTTCACTTTTAGTAATACTGAACTCTGATTCTGTAGTACACAGGCAGATTTTTGCCGCTTGACTGTTTTCCTGTAATCCAGCTATTAAAGTACTCCCCAAGACCCAAGCTCCAGGCTCCATTGCCAAACCACTCTTCTACAGACACCACCTCCCCAGAGCAAAAGGGCCTTCACAGCACCTCCGTGCTCTGTGTGCCAAGAAACACGATGCAGAGCTGCACACCCTGCGCGCACGCGTGCACACGTACGGTGCCCAACAGGCCGAGGCCAGTGCCAAGTGTTTGAACAAGGAAGCCAAGTATTTATCTAGTCCACAGAATAAGAATGCCCCTCTCTCTGACAAAGCCAAATCCTGCCTTTCTCTGACCACAAGATACTACAGCCCTTTTCCAGTAATTTTTGTTAACCTTCTACCTTACGCCTCCTTCTGTTTGGGCCAGGAATCTCTCACACTCTTCTCCAAGGTTCTTCATCATCATGCATTTCCACAGCCCGTGCTCTCAGTTCAGACTCTCACCCAGAATCCTTTGGATATTCATTCTGAGTTTGGAAAACACCTGGAAAGATAAAGTATAGTGTGTTCACAGAGAATGATTTCACTGCATTTGCATGCAACACCAGTGCTACAGCTGGGGATTGCCACTTGGGATTTGAGGGAGATGCCATCATTGCTCTGATACCACTGCTGCCCCAGCAGAAGGGGAGGACCATGTCACCTCTTCTCTTTCGCCCCTTTTATGGGGGCAGAAATGCCCCTTTGAGCCCCTTTAGGTCAAAAACTTGAAGAAACGGACTCGCCAGATTTTTTCCCCGTCAGGATGGTCCAAGACAGAATGTATGAAGCAGGGTTACTGCAGCATGCATAAGCTGCAGTTCAGTACCCACGGCTTCTTACTGCAAACAACAACAAAAAAAGCCTTTCAAAGAAAATTGGCTTTGAAACAGCAAAAGGACAGGACGTGTGTCTTAATGAGTGTCCACCTTTCTCCTCTGCGAGGAGGCTGGAAACGTTAAGCTTCCGTAGGCAATGCAAAACCTCTCAGGTCTGGTGGCATAGTCATGTAACATCCCACTTAGTTTAAGAAAGATTCTTCTTTCAAAATGGCTTCATTTGTAATAATATTAACTTAACAGAAATTAAGTATTCATGAACTCCATAGAGGTCGCTCCTTTATCAGTCAGTTAAACATGCCTGGGACCGTCCTCTGGCCCTGAGGTCACACAGCACATAATACCTGTACCCACACCATCAAATCTGTACCCATGCAGCCATACTGTTCAATTCCCCGCTCCCCAGTGGGATGTCGATGTGCAGCCCAGTGGGCTGCCTGCCAGCCACACCGGGAGCTGCTGGCTGGAGCAGAGGGGCTGGTGAAGGCTCACGCCGTGACAGCGTTTGCTGGGAGAGCTGGAGCCCGCGGGACTCAGTGTCGCTGCTGGTCCCGCCTTCCCCGAATGGCACCTGCAGAAACAGCCCCGAACCCACCCAGCCACGTCCCTATCTCGCAAATCCGGATTTAAGACCCGAGAGGTGTGCCCTGCGTCCTGCAGGCGGGCGAGAGAGGGCTCTCCGCGGACACAGCGGCACGACATGGACAGTAAAACACAATCCCCTCCTCTAGGAAATGCCCTGCCAACCCCCCGATGCAAACGCGCACGGTTTGCCTCCCAGTTTGCCCAACTGGCCTGCTCTTGGCGTGCCTGCCCTGCGAGATGGCCTTTGCAGACCTGCGGATACAACAGAGCTGGCAAACAAGAGACCAACCGGTCATCAAAAGGCAGAGGTAGCGCGGGTGGCATCAAAGCAAGAGGAGGGAGCAAAGGGAGAGGCTGCTGCCTCCCGTCCCACACCCCACCTTTCTGCACAGACACCACCGATGCCGAGACGCAGCTGCGGGACGGTCTTGCAAAAATGCCTCGGAATAAAATCCCAAGGATGCTCATATCCGCCAGCCCCCCGCCAAGGCCCAGCCCCTGGCACGGGCTGCGACTGCTGTCCTCAGACACGGTCGCACCTCCCTGCCCCGCTGGGAAAAACACCAACCGCGGCTACAACCCGCGGGTCCCGCGTGCTAGTGACACCAACGGGGGGACAGGCAGCCGTGCTTCCAGGCTGCACCTCGGAGGGGCTCTTGGCCCACGCAGAGTCTGACACGGAAGGAGAAGGAAGAGTTGCCCTTGGCCCCCCCCCTCCTGCTGTGGCCCTTGAACGGCACCTTGTCAGTCCTTCCCCACCCACAGCGGAGGCGCAACGGGAAGCTCCGACGACACTCCTGCTGCAAAAGCCGCGCAGTCCACCCCTAAACCACGTTTTCCTCAGATCCCGTGTCTCAGGTTGTCACACAGCTGCTC